ATTACTTTTATACCCATAAAGGATATAAAAGCATTCATTTCTCCTTCTCTCTGGCTGCATTCTTGCAGCCATTGAGAAATACTGTTTGAGCTGTGATTGGTCACAGCTTGGCACATGGTACAAGGCTGTTGTGAATAGCCCTGTACCATGTGATCTCTGTGATCATTCACAGATTTCACACGTAGTAAGCAATGATGTCAGAAGTGACATCTTGCTTACACCTATTCATGTGATCACTGGTTGGCCAATCAGTGATCACACGATCAGGACCTCACTCAGGTCCCGTACAGCTATTGGTGTTCCTCCGGACACATCGGGCACCGGATTGCGGTGTTGCGCGCTCCCAGGGAGCGCGCACAATCCAAAATGGCGGGCGCCGTTTATGAATGGCAACCTGCCCCTGGACTGCCACCATCCAGCCGTTTATATACAATTCAAAGGAGATTTTTTTATAAAAACAGTATGAAATTTTATATGTACAAGCTTCAAAAATAAATATAAAGCTACAACACATATTGCAGCGATGTCATCAGAGATGGTATTGTAAATCTAATCATGGATCATGCATGGTTCGCACTTGACACGTTTCGAGATCAACAACAATCTCTTCTTCGGAAGTGCTCAAGAAGGCATGACGTATGATTCCAGGTTAAAAACCGCCAGGAAATATTAAAAACAAATTGTTATGTGAACACAACCACGGATTTCTCATATATCTCAGGCAAAAATGATGAAACAAAAATGAATAAAGAAAAAACTGAGACCAGTGGATGAAAAATGCCACCCAAACACCTCCCGAAGGGGCCCCGCCAAAATGCATCATCAACAAGATTACCTGCTGGTTGGTATTGATAGGGCAGTGCTACTATGAGTGCGAAGCGATGACCACAAGGAATTTGCGTGAGAAAGTGTTGATGACCAGGTCTATCCCAAGAATCATGCTTGATGGCTGTGAGCAAACATGGAATCATACGTCCTGCCTTCTTGAGCACTTCTGAAGAAGATATTTTTGTTGATCTCGAAACGCGTCAAGTGCGAACCATGCATGAGCCATGATTAGATTTGCAATGCCATCTCTGATGACACCGCCGTACAATATGTATTGTAGCTTTATATTTTATTTTTGAAGATTGTAAAAATAAAATTCATACTGTTTTTATAAAAAAATCTTTTGAATTGTTGAAATTTATCATACAAATAAATTGTGCCGTTAAAGGCCCACCTAAAAAGAGGACCCCCCTTGTATTCATTAGGGATGTTGGCACTTTGTGTATTGTATCCCTTCCTCTCTCTAATCAATTTGAATAAAACTGCTTGAAATTGATTCTACTTGGTGGCTAGGGGTTGCTGTACTTTTTCTGAATAAGTTTGACAGAAGACTGAGTCTGTCCTGGGAACCTTCTTTGCTACTTATAACCAAACCAAGCCTCTTGATGATTTATTTCCTTCAACTTCAAGTATCCAGAAAATTTCAGTTTAGAAGCACAACCTTCAATGAGCGATATCTAAATGGTATAGTATTAGCACGGTGGTAGCAGTTAGAAGAGGTTCAGTTGAAATTCTGTTCAACGTTCTCAGTGGACTTAGACTTTTTAAGAAAGAAAGATCTACTTCTGAATCTACTTTTTTTTTATCAGGTTTATTATATGTCTTTCCCTATTCCTACAATTTACTACTCACTTCTTCAATTTCTCCTCCAGCTGCTGCTTATCATTTTCCAGGTCCATCACAGACTCCTGGGTGAGCTTCAGATCTCCCTCTAGCTTTCGCTTTGCACGTTCTAGATCCATACGGAGTTTCTTCTCTTGTTCTAGGGATCCTTCCAGCTACAGGAATTAATAACACAGTATGTACTTAATAATACTTTTTTTTCACACCTCTAGATCAGTGGTTCTCAACCACCAGGCTGTGGCCCAGCTAGCTGCAGATCCTCTAAACTCCCCCAGTGCCTCTCAGCACCCATAGTGCCACCAACCTCCCTTGGTGGCCTGCAATGCCCTTCAAATTCTCACAGTGCCCCCAGGCCCCCTAAGAGCCCTCAGTCACCACAGCACCCGCCAACCTTCCACAATTTACACCTTAGTGCCCTTAACCATCTCCCACAGTGCTCCCCAGCCCCTGAAGTGCCCTCCAGTCTTCCCCATTGCCTTTGCAAAACCCTCAGCCTTCTGGAGAGACCCCCAGCCCTCTACAGGGACTCCATCCCATACAGTTCCCCACAGCTCTCTCCAGAAGCCTCATCCCTTATAGGGCTATTATTTCTGCTGAAAAGTCTCCTAAACCCCTCCACAACCCTCACCCCCCTATACCGAGCCCCATTCAGAGCCTTATTTAGTATTCCCATACCTTTATTGTGTATCAACATTTTTTTATTGGGCACAAAAGGTTTCATAAGTATTTACCAAGTTCTCAATATGGTTGAGAACCACTGCTCTTGATTCTAATTAATAACATCCTTGAAATATTGAAATCTGGTGAATAAAAATAACTTACATCATCTACTTGTTGCTCTAGCTTAGCTTTGGCCTTGGTGAGAGTGTTGACTTTGTCTTCTTCTCCCTGCAAGTCATCTAGAGCTTGTTGATGGGCTTCCTGCAGAGCTTTTTTCTCTTTTGTCAGCTTGGCGATTATCTCATCCAATGCCGCCATCTCTTCAACAAGGTTCTTCACCTGAGGTGAAACAATACATAAATAATTAAACTCTTGAGGCCCTGGACACAAAGACTGTTTGCTATGAGTTATTGCACATTGTTGATGTTGGCACAAGGGTATAAATGCCTAGCTTAATCCAAAACTTGCTATGAAGCCTACAATAGAACAGAGAAGGGTTTAAGTTTTTACTTTTATCCATGTCTATTCTCGTGATATTCCCTCTCACTTCTTGTTGGGATAGGAATTGATAGAAAATCCCTGAAGCAGGAACATAGACACACAAAACATTTTTAGTAGAGTGGGGAAGGGTAAGAATGTCTGATAATGTTTTTAATGCAACCATTTCTTGTATGGGGTCATGGTAGAAATGAAAACTTGACAGAGGTTTTATATCTTTCCCACTCTGTCCAAAATGTATAAAGGTTAATTCTTTGCTTGCCTTATTTTCTGTGGCGTGTTTCTCCTTCTCTACTTTGGCCAGTGTAATTTCCAAGTCATCAATGTCCTTCTTTAGTTCGGCACACTCATCTTCCAGTTTTCGTTTCTTGGAAGTCAAGTCAGAGTTCATCTCTTCTTCGTCTTCCACTCTCTCACTCAGCTCTTTCACTTTGGCCTCCAGCTGGATTTTAGTCTTGATCAGCAGGTCGCATCGCTCTTCTGCATCTGCAAGATTGTCTTGCTCCTGCAGTCAGAGAAAGTGGAATGTAAAATTTCAGGTCATGTTTGGTAGGTGCTGGAGAATTAAAATATCTGACAATTTGGTATATTTGTCCAGAACACTACAGGTGAAGTCTTAGCATTAAGCGCTCATTTGAGGGTCTACCACTCTCCCTTGTAGATGCAAATGTGAAGGGGGAACATCCAAAACTGCCAAGTGGATAAGAAGATATTGGGTATAATGAAAGGATTATCTCAACGTTGATGCAGTGAAAAAGATGTCTTCAAGGAAATAAGGTATGACAAACCTATTGTATAATGTACTAGTAATAAATTAAAGCTTTTCTTTCAACAAGTGGGAAACCCCATCACTGGGCTGATTCCAAATACCTGGATTAATCCCAGCATGACTCCAATGACCAGCTGTGTCATGGAAATACAGGTCAGGTGCTGCTAAAGCTCTGGTATTAAAAAAACAAACAAAAATAACCTATCATTGGATTTTACAAATCCAAACACTCAAGCAACCTTAAAAGAAAGTTGATGTGTGTTATGACCATTGACTTGGCAGTTTGATACAATTGTCTATCCTTTTGTATTGAAGACTCAATGTAAAAAGATGATGACAATGACTTACGGCTTGGAGTTGCAGACCCAGGTCATTCTTCTCTTGGATCAGAGTAACCTGTCTCTCTTCCAGCTCTTTCCTCTTAGCTTCAGACTTCTCCAGAGCTTCTTTTAGCTTCAGGAATTCCTCCTTCATATTGGCCATTTCCTTCTCTGTTTGGGCTGATTTCAGTAGTGGTTTAATCTTGAAAAACAGTTTCATCCATGACCAGTTCTTGACAGCATTGAAAGCTCTTATGTTCCACTGGATTACCAACAATGAATCCCTGCAAAGATACAAAGTACAATGTTCAAACCTGGCAGATTGTGGCAGCAATAGCTTTGCAGTAGTACATTTTCAGTCTGGAGGTTCTCCAGTTTGAAAGGGAAGGTGTAATGCCAAATGTACCTTCTGGCAATGATCTTGTGGTACTCAATCCTCATGAGTCTACCCCGGCTTCTGGCTTGCAACATGGTGATGATCTTGGCCAGACGCTCATCTCGCATCTCTTCCAGCTGACCAAGCAGACCAGCTTTGAAGAAGACCTAGGCAAGGAAAATGTTGCCACATATTTTACACATAATTACCAGAAATGACTTAAAAATATTGGTAGATAATAACTGTCCATTTAAATAAAATTAAAGTTTAATACATTTCACTTTTTAGGAGGGGCTCTGTAACAGACACTTTTTTTCTTTAGTAAATAGAACTTTACTTAGGCTTTTCATTGTAGAAGAGACATAGGCAAGAGCTCTTTTCCTGCCTGTCAGCAGTAGCACCCAGGTTGGCCACTGGGGGTCCCCCTAGGTTCGGTAACTGGGAGGACTAAGTGGTTGTTGGTGAAGTAGTTAGGAGACGAGGAGACAGGACTAGTAATGTCTACATTAGACCCTTGTGGGAAGGTGAAGTAGTTAGGAGAGGAGGAGACAGGACTAGTAATATCTACATTAGACCCTTTTGGGAAGGTGAAGTAGTTAGGAGAGGAGGAGACAGGACTAGTAATGTCTACATTAGACCCTTGTGGGAAGTATAGAGTCTTGCTGTCTGACAAGGTGTAGCATTCTAAAAGCCAGCAGAGGAAGCTCCTCTCCAATTTAGTGGGGCAAGCCGGGGTCACTGGAAGATCTTGAATAAGATCGCTGTAAGCAAAGGATGGACTATCGGAAACCCATTATCAAGTGTGATGTACCTTTCATGTGCCCATGAAGAGAGTTTTGGTAATTAGTGAAATCTGATGTTTAGTAAAAGAACGCAAAGAAGAACATGGAGTCTGTTTTTTCCTATTCCCTTGGATGTGGCCTATGTTTAGGACAAGTGATTATGAGCCAGGTGCAGTCAGGAAGGGGCAGTGGGGTGCCAAGTCATTCATTTGTTCCACAGCATGGTCCAAAATACAGCGAGTGTAAGTCTCCCTATGGGTAGTGGGGGTCCGCATTGGTGTGGATCAAGGCCTCAGGCCTGTCAGTGGTACCCAGAGTTTAGTACACTAAGCCAATGTACTCTTGTCCCTTCTACAAGCAATCTTCTTAGTTCTGTTCATGGAGCCCAACACACCTATTAATCATGAATTTGCTCTGTGTTTTCTTTCCATAGATCTAAAACAGTATGTACCAAACCTGAACTAAAGTCCAGGGCATGTTTTGATGGTAACCTCACAAATACCAGGGCAGAGGATACCAACAATATATGATCTACTGGTGGGACCTGAAAGAGGTTTAAAAAAAGGCTCTGGCACATTGTTCTATTGCAGAGTTTCTCAACTAGGGTTCCTCCAGTGGTTGAGGAAAAACCAAACAGACGGCGCACAGGCCTAGTTCATTACCATAAAAAATGTTTAAAAAGAAATAAAGTAGGGCTCTGAGGAAGAGGCAAGTCTACACTCCCTATTGTGGACTGTTCCTCGGCGCAGTGTTGACCAAGCTGTTCTTTGATGATGTGCCTTGACTTTATTGTTGTTTGTGAGTACAACACCTACTTTATTTCTTATTAAGCATTTTTATGGTAATGCTCTAGCCTCTGTTTGTTTTTTCCTCATTCAGTATATTTGGATTTCCCCGGTCTATTGGGGGCAGCAAGGTGTGCATGTTCCAGGACATTCTTAATGTGGTTGTAGCCAGGGGCGGGCTGACAACTGATGGGGCCCCCGGGAAATAGGGGCTCATGGGGCCCTTGTGTCCTTGCCCAAATCTCAAAAAAGCCTATGAAAAAGGTACCAGGGGCATCTCATGGGGCCCCCTACTGACCCCGGGCCCTTGGGCAGTGCCCGAGTTTCCAAATGGTCAGTCCGCCCCTAGTTGTAGCCTGCATCGAGTCCATCCCCAAGCGCAGGAGCATTTGTGTTTGCTGGTTCTTTGTTTCCTCCAGAGGTTGCCTGGGGTTCCTTGAGCAATGAGCAATTTTTGCCTCTCAGGTAAGTTCCCACTGACACCACTGATCTTTTCTTCCCACTGACCACAAGCGTAAGGAGCATTCTTACCTCTGACTATCACACTGTGTCATGAATTGTAGATAAATCCATTGTTAGCAGGGGTTCCCTAAGACCGGAAAGTTACATCAAGGTTCCTCTGCGTTTGAAAAGGTTGAGAAAAGCTGCTCTATAGTATAAGTCCCTGCCCATATAGAAGTCAAACAGACTATGTTTATTGTATGGCAGATGCAGTGGGGATGGGTGCTCATTTCTCTGGTTGGACTGGGAATGTAATCCTTTGTTAGTGCAGCTTTCCTAATTAGCAGAGGTGTCTACAGCCATCTTATGATGTCTATTTTATAATAATTTATGATAGTGACAGGTTCACTTTAAGCCAGTGTTCTTTCTTTAAAAGTATAGCCATAAGCAGAGGAATAGTACCTTTGTGTGTCCAAACTTGTACTGGGTATGGTCAATGTCAAGGGATCCCAGTAGTTTTTCTGTGGCTTTTCTGCTGTCTACAAATTTGTCATCTGGGATAGCACTGGGGTTGAGGATCCGATACCTGTGAAAAAAGAAGACAAAGCGAGTTATAGAAGTACTTACAAAAGTCACTATGCAGGTTTGTTTAGGCATTTTATTATCTTTGTGTGTGGGGTTAAATTGTTGTACTAATTGCTATATCTTTGTTATGATCCAGCTGTAATAACTGGTACTATGACATAAAGACTCAGTATGCAATTTCTTTAAATATGACCTGAACTCGAAGAGTGAGGATTTGCTATTTTATCGGGAACATTTAAGAAATGATAAAACGTCCCTTAGAGGTACCCTGAAAATGATATCTTTGGTAACCCTCAAATTCCTTCTGAAAGATAAGTGTACTTAGCATGTGAGTGTGCCTAGGCCTCCTATCCATTGTGGCTCGGCTTGGAGTCAAATTGACAAGACTGACCTGTGTGTGGATGAATATGTTGTCCTTCACTCACCTCTGCTTAAACTCTGCATACAGCAGCCTGTTGGGATATCCCTTACGGCAAATTCTAATACCCTCAAGGACACCATTACACCTCAGCTGGTGAAGGACCATGAATGGATCCATGACACCTAGGAAAAGGGACAGTTCTATAAATAATACTGCAAACCATCATGTTCATGAAAGAACTGCCATTCATTTTTTTTTTCCAGTATACTCCCCCATAGGACATGTAGTACTTTGTCCCATCTTGCTAGGTGCTTCCTAATCCTAGCTAGGAGATTGGACTGGGTGCCCCTTTCTCCCGTGGCAGGTCTGAAAACATAGCTAGGAAGGAGAAGGCTGCTTCATAATGGCCACTTGTGTTGGCTGCAATCACTTTCCAGAGACAAGCGGAAGCAATATGGAGGAGAGACTGACACGGCCCTCTTTCTCTGCATTCTTCTTGCCGCTGCTTGTCCTGAGAAAGTGCTTGGAGCCAGCATGAATCAGGCCTGAGATAAAATACTGGCCGCAGGCACAGTATTGTTTTTGGTAAGCTGGCTGACTTGTAGTCTTGCATTGGGAGTAGGAGCACTGAAGCGCTGTGTAGAACTGCGAAGAAGTAAGAAGAGTCCCAGTATGTAACAAACAAACATGGCTGTCTATATAATATATATATATATATATATAATATTATTTTTATATATATATATATTTTATATATATTTTATATATATATATATATTTTTATATATATATTTTTATATATAATATATATATATATATATATATATATATATATATATATATATATATATATAGAGCTAGACAGAGAAACAATATTTTCAAATTATTCTATACTTCTATACTTATTGAATAATTAAAAAAAAATTCTCTTTTAAAAGTAATGTTGCTTTTCACTCCATTGCTTTTTATCATGCAGCAGAGTTGATTTACGAAATGCTGCTCACTTTGCAAGGGAATTTTCCCTTAGCTTCGTGAATGAGGTGAAACTCTGCTGGCTTCTATTATCCAATCACGAGCAAACAAAAAATACAGTTTTTTGTTTTGCATATGATTGGGTATTCAATACAAAGTGAATTTTCGCCGCCTTCATTAAGTGAAGGGAAAGTTCTTGCAAAGTAAACTGAGCAGCCTGTCTGCCTTTAGCAAAACAATCTCAATGTGTGAATTGTCACTTAGATTGCTGGTCAAACAGTTATGCCAGCCTGGCTCCCATGCTGAATACAAGGCCTTTTCCTTCCATGATACATGTGAGTGCAGTATTTTGTTTGTTTTTAGATTATCAAAGAAAGGGGTTCATTTACTTAAATTGGAGAGTGCAAAATTTGGCACAATTCTGCATGGAAATCAGATTTCGCACTCTCCAGTATTAGTAAATCTACCCCAAAGTGTTTTGTTGCCCTCCCCTCTCTTTTTTTTCTTTTTTATATACACCAGCCGGAGGTTACCTGGAGTTTTGCTCTCATTAGGGATGATACATCTGACAAAATGAGGCTGAGTGGACCGCAGATTGGTCATCAGTTTATTAAGATTTTCCTGCACAGCAAAAACACATACAAGTAAGCAAAGTTCTGTCTTACACAGTAATATATATATGTTTTTTTTTTTTCATAAAGTATGTCAGTTTAATCCCAAAGATTCTTTACATTTAAGTATCATACAGGAAGTATAGGAATTTTTCAATTGTTATTAATAGTTTGATGTTACTTGATGGCATTTAATTTGATGAATCTAAGAGAGGCAAAAATAGAACTACAATTGTACCATTTTGTTTTCTGATATATTTCTCAATTAGGACTTACATCAAAAAGCAATGAAAAGAATACAAAATGGCACTTTGCTGCACCCCTAAAATCTTGCCGTCCTAGTCTGTATTTTCTTTCTGCCAGTATAGCCTTATATATGTGGCCTGAGATGAGATTCAGCCACAGCCAAAAGGCACCCAGATGTATATTTAGTTATATAGTTATGATGAAAAAAATACATGCCTATAGAGTTTGACCAAAAAACAAAAATACATTTAAACCTACATCCTCAGAACTCAATACCCGAAGCTGATCCATAGATAGTAATAAAAAAAAAAACCCTTATAAAACATGACCCCTGTCCTCTGCCCTTTCAAAAAGTGACTCCTGTCCCCTCCTGTCCCAGTGACCTGCAAAAAATGACTCCAGTCCCCTGCCACGTCAGTTGTGACTCCTGTTCTCTGCCCTGCCCTGTCCTCTGCCCTGCCAAAAGTGACTCCTATCCCCTGCCCTACAAAAAGGGACTCTTGGCCTTGTCTCCTGTCCCTGCCCTGTCAGTTGTGACTCCTGTCCTCTGCCCTGTCAGTTGTGACCCCTGTCTTCCACCCTACTGATCCCTGTCCTTCAGCTCTGCTGTCCCCTATTCTCAGCTTTGCTGACCCCTGGGCTCTGCCCTGCTGACCCCTGTATACTGCCCTGCTGACCCCTGTATACTGCCCTGCTGACCCCTGTATACTGCCCTGCTAACCCCTGTACACTGTCCTGCTGACCCCGTCCTCAGCTCTGCTGTCCCCTATTCTCTGCCCTTCTGACCCCTGTACACTGCCCTTCTGACCCCTGTACACTGCCCTTCTGACCCCTGTACACTGGCCTGCTGACCCTGTCCTCAGCTCTGCTGTCCCCTATTCTCTGTCTTGCTGACCCCTGTACACTGTCCTGCTGACCCCTGTACACTGTCCTGCTGACCCCTGTACACTGTCCTGCTGTCCCCTGTACACTGTCCTGCTGACCCCTGTTCTCTGTCTCTGCTGACCCCTGTACACTGTCCTGCTGACCCCTGTACACTGTCCTGCTGACCCCTGTACACTGTCCTGCTGACCCCTGTACACTGTCCTGATGACCTCCCATGCTCTGCCCCCCCTGACATTTTTATTGCACTCCCACATCAGACAGGCTAGATTTGGCCCTGACCTATAATATGAGGTCAAACCTAAACACTTTCAATTTGTATGCAATTAGGCGGGCCCTTGCAATACATAGTTGAAGGTAAATCTAAAGGAAATTGAACAAGAAAATTGTATAATGTATGGCCAGCTTTACTTCTTAAAAACATTAATAGCCAATTCTGTTTACGCACTTGGAAGCACATCCAGTCCTTTTCTTAAGATATTTGCTGGCTTGACTTAAAATACAGCTCCTGTGGAAAAAACTATTCTATAATTCTCACAGCTGTCACTGTAAAGAATCCCCTCTGTATGCAGAGGTTATGGCCTTATTCCCACAAGCACTGAGGCCCCCATGTCACCAAGTGCTGTGTGCAGGCAGCCCATAGAAGGCTAGAAAAAACAAAAATGGTGCTACAACCCAATTAGGAGTCCATCTCAGCGACTGGGCAGGTGCACGATCCACAGCTGCTGTGGGACACAAATAGGAAAAAAGATCCGCACGACCGCCACTGCGCTAAAATCTTCCTCTTTATTGAAACGACCACAAAAGTTACATCAAAAATACAATAGGCTGCATCAAAAATACACTAGGTTGTAAAGGTTACATAAAAAAATACAATAGGTTGACGCGTTTTGGCTAAAAAGCCTTACATTATAGGTTATGGCTAAGGCTTTTTAGCCAAAACGCATCAACCTATTGTATTTTTTTTATGTAACCTTTTGTGGTCACATCAAAAATACAGTAGGCTGCATCAAAAATACACTAGGTTGTAAAGGTTACAAAAATACAATAGGTTGACGCGTTTTGGCTAAAAAGCCTTAGCCATAACCTATAATGTAAGGCTTTTTAGCCAAAATGCGTCAACCTATTGAATTTTTATGTAACCTTTTGTGGATACATCAAAAATACAATAGGCTGCATCAAAAATACACTAGGTTGTAAAGGTTACATAAAAAAATACAATAGGTTGACGCGTTTCGGCTAAAAAGCCTTACATTATAAGTTATGGCTAAGGCTTTTTAGCCAAAACGCATCAACCTATTGTATTTTTTTATGTAACCTTTACAACCTAGTGTATTTTTGATGCAGCCTGCTGTATTTTTTATGTATCCACAAAAGGGTACATACAAAATACAATAGGTTGAAGCATTTGTGGTTAGGTTGACCTTTTGTGGTTGCATCAAAAATACAGTAGGCTGCATCAAAAATACACTAGGTTGTAAAGGTTACATAAAAAATGCAATAGGTTGACGCGTTTTGGCTAAAAAAACTTTAGCCATCACCTATAATGTAAGGCTTTTTAGCCGAAACGCGTCAACCTATTGTATTTTTTATGTAACCTTTTGTGGTCGTTTCAATAAAGGGGAAGATTTTAGCGCAGAGGTGGTTGTGCAGATCTTTTTTTCTATTTGTAGCCCATATAAGACCATAGGGATGCAGAGGCAGGTGCGGGTGAGAAGCCCCGAATGCAGACAGTGTGCATTTGGAGCTGCTCGCCTGCTTGCCTGTCAAATTAGAATGCCCAAATGTGTCTGTACAGCCACTGTGTCCCTATAGATTTACATGGGCTGTCTGCATGCAGCACCTGGTTGCTCCAGGCACATAAATTCTCCAGAGCCTCCCCCATTCTCTGGAACTCTCTACCCCAACTTATCAGACTATCACCTACTCTGCTCACTTTTAGGCGATCTCTGAAAGCCTATATCTTCAGGAAAGCCTATCCTGCCCTCAGCTAATAATGGAATCCTCTATTCCTCCTACCAGTCCATCCCCCACAGTTATTACCTTTTGTACCACTAGCCCCTCCCTCTTAGACTGTAAGTTCCCAGGATCAGGGCCCCCCTATCCCTCTTGTATTGAACTGTATTGTTGCTGTATTGTCTCCCGTTATATTGTAAAGCGCTGAGCAAACTGTTGGCGCCATATAAATCTTGTATAATAATTCTAAGAATAATAATAAAAAACTAAAAAAGGTTCCAATCTGCACCACTTTATTTAATACTAAAAAATGGGTTGGAGTTGGGTAGTACATTGGATAAAAGTCAGGCTTCCTTTGGTTTCCTGTCTCTTTAAAATGCCCATAGCAGCCTAAAAAAATTCTACTTTTTATTCTCCAAACTGAATACAAGACAGAGAAAACCTTTCTGGCTGCTATGGAGAACGCCATGGGTCTTTTTTCAGAAACTTTGTGTTGCCCAAAGTGTGTTTGTGTTGACAGACAAATCACGTGGCTCCATGACCTTGGGCGAAACTTTGTAGCAGCTGTTAGGTAATGACATATAGCCGGCATGCCCTGCCAGTCAGTGGTATCTGTGTGCACTGGATCCAGAGGACAAGATTCTTACCGCATCTTACAGCTTGACCCGTCCGTCTTCCACCTGGTGTGCAGAGCGGGAAGCAGTACAGACTTAAAGTGATGTTCAAGAAATGGCTTTAACTAAACATCACTGCAAGTCTTAACGGCTTCACACTCACAGAGACAATACTGTACAGAGGAGACACTTTACAATGGTGAAAAACACAAGGTGACCACTTTCTTGTCAGCCAAAACCAAACTGGTATGTCATATTGTAAGTCAAAGGTCACCACTCCATAAACTGCTAAATGGTTTTACCATAGCTCCCAGCTGGCCTCTTTGGGAACCAAATCCTTCTGTCACGGTTTTCTTGGGCTCCTGTATCTCCACAACTCCATAAACTACTAAATGGTTTTACCATAGCTCCCAGCTGGCCTCTTTGGGAACCAAATCCCTCTGTCAAAGTTTTCTTGGGCTCCGGTATCTCAACATTCCATAAACTGCTAAATGGTTTTTACCATAGCTCCCAACTGGCCCCTCTGGGAACCAAATCCTTCTGTCAAGGTTTTCTTGGGCTCCTGTATCTCCACAACTCCATAAACTGCTAAATAGTTTTACCATAGCTCCCAACCGGCCCCTTTGGGAACCAAATCCCTCTGTCACGGTTTTCTTGGGCTTCTGTATCTCCACAACTTCATAAACTGCTAAATAGTTTTACCATAGCTCCCAACCGGCCCCTTTGGGAACCAAATCCCTCTCTGTCACAGTTTTCTTGGGCTTCTGTATCTCCATAAAAAATATGTACTGTTTAAGGACTATCTAAACCCAAGGGAAAAAATGTGACATATTGTAGTTTACCAGTTCTTTGCTACATTGCTTTTCTATGGGGTTCTATGTATCGCAAGTGTCATTCTACGCTCAACCTTTCATCCAACCTCTAGTGGAAAAGTAGTGCTGAAAAAGAGCACTTGTTGGTTTATAATTTTTTGCATATACCGTATACTCTTTAGGGTCCTTGCAGCAAAGGTGTGTCCCCCTGCATACATTGTGACACAGTTGGGTTGATTTAATAAGGGCAAATAGACTGTGCACCTTGCAAGTGCATTTGCTCCACAGCTTAGTAAATGAGACGAAGCTCTGCTGATCTCCATCATCGCATGTAAGCAAAAAGCTGTTTTTTTTTTCAATTTTCCTTGCATGTGATTGGGCATTCTTTGCAAAGTGAAGCTTCCACTCATTTACTAAGCTCTGAAGCAAAATGCCCTTGCAAAGTGCACAGTCTACTGACCTTTAGTACAGCAACCTGTTTGTGTCCATCCTTCAGAACATTGGGAAGTATAGTTTTTCATTTGTCATGTTTGTAACAGTACAACAGTATAGGTATAGGAATATGGCATCCAAGGGGGACACAAATAGCAGTTCAACCCTGCCTAAGGAAAAAAAAGTTGTCTGGATTTCTACATTAACACACAATATTAGACATTGAAATCCTTTTTTACCTTGTGAAGCTGAGACACGGTCTGGAATGAAGCCGCCTTCTTGCGTTTTTCCTTCACTCCCGTCTTATGCTCGTCTACAGTACCAAAAAAATGGTCAAATCTTTAATGTAAAGTTTAAATAATTTTTATGAGCCAACATTTACTCCGAACATCGCACAAGGCAAATGTGGATTCTTGCTATATTTTATATAGTTTAGATCAGTAAAGTGTTTAGCTGGTTAGTGGACATGGAGGCGGGAGGGAGCGGGCTGTCATTTACCACTGTGTATATGCCCACATGTGATGTGTGACACATGGGTTGCTCAGATATGGCTAGGTCCATATATATTTGGTCCCAGGCACAATTTTTAGTTTTTTTTTTTTTCAGGTATTTACCAAAATATATTCAAGCTATAGTTCTATAATAGATATGGGCTGAAAGTGCACACTCTCAGGCAGGGGCGGACTGACCATTTGGAAACTCGGGCACTGCCGAGGGCCCGGTGACAGTAGGGGCCCCATGAGATGCCCCTGGTACCTTTTTCATAGGCTTTTTTGAGTTTGGGCAAGGAGACAGGGGCCCCATGATCCCCTATTGCCCGGAGGCCCCATGAGTTGTCAGTCCGCCCCTGCTCACAGGTTTAATTTGAGGGTATGTACATCCAAATTGGAGGAAGGGTTTAGGAATTACAGCTCTTAAAAGTAGCCATCTCTCCTTTTTCAAGGGACCAAAAGTAATTGGACAAATGAATATAATTGTGATGGGAGTCACTTTGGTTGGGGGCCCATGGAACACAGCTCACTTTGGAGAGGTGGGGAGACCCCTGTCTCAGCTCCCCATATCCCGTTTATGTGTAAGTCACCCTGTGCCTGTTATGGGTACAGGGTGATCCGTCCTAATATTGGTGGGGGGGTTGTTGATTGTTTAATGCCATGTGGTTGCATCTCATTGTTCTATTGTGTGTCTTGCTTGGGAGAAAACTATTATGGGATGTATGTGTTTGTGTATTGGCTTGGTGGGGGGTGTCTGCTGATGTGTCTTTTGTTTCTAGATGTGGTTTGCCCCGCCCTGTGTCATTATGCAGGGAGGGGGAATTGTTCCCTTGAATGTATATAGCTTGTATCTGTGTTAAAATAAAGTAGTCCATTTCCTGATTTATTTCAAGACTGGTCTCGTTTAGTCTTGTATGGTCAGCGGTGGTGTTGGTGTTCGGATGGGGAAGCAGTATTATAACGGAAATGCCCAAGCGCAGACTGGGACGGTTCCGTTACATGTGCAAAAAATCCCATGGTTCCCCAGTCTAAAATGTAAATGCTGCTTATCAATGAAAACCTAAGCCCAGGACAATGTGATGAAAATAACTTCACATTAGGAGCCCCCCCCTTTCATGTCAAAGGCTCCTCTATCACATCATGCCCCCTTGATGTGAGACCCCCCCCCCCCCATTACATCAGAGCTCTACCTTTTGGCTCCAGCAGCTTGGCAGAAGGAGGAAGAGGTTTGGAGAAGGCAGACTTCCGTCCTCTCCTGAATACTGGGGGTGGCCCTGCATGTCGCATACCTTTTTATATAATCATGCATTATCATGGTACAGTTAAGCCAACCATCATCACCAGAGCAATGAAAGACAGTCGGCCCCATGGCAACTCATGACGTTGATCCAGGGCAATCTGGGTTCTGAGCTAATGGCACCTCAGGAGAGCCCAGATGGCACCCTGGTCGAGAAATGTTGGTTTAGATTCAGTGTACATCTGAAAGTCACAGAAAGTGGAAACAGGGAAGCTTTTTTTCTTAACAGTTGATTGGGGGGGGGGGGGGGGTCCATGCAGGGGAGGTCCACAATGAGACAGAACAAAAAAGAAGATTCATAGGTATATTCTTATGTGATAACCCTACAAGTTGTGTACCTGAGTAGGAGCTGATATAATTCTCATACAAGCTGGCCAGTAGCTTGTTGGAGGCCTTCTGGAATACTCCTACCACGGTTTCATTTAAAGGATCCTTATTTTTGTCTAGCCATCCCATGATGTTATAGGGCACCTGTTAAAACAAGTTTGTTGTGAGTTTAAGATCATCTTTATTTTTTATTTTTTTTAATAATTAAGTTTTTATTGGTTTTCACATATATATATATATATATATATATATATATACAGTACATATATCACATTTGAAAGAAAAACAAGAGAAAAAAAAAGCACATCGATGATAGAAATCTGCATGGGTACAGAACATATAATGTCACAGTGGAGAGGCAGTTACAACCGTACATTTTGGGCAGGTTGAGAAGAAATAAAGATATCCCGTGGGTTCCATACTGCCTCAAACACAGCAATCGAACAAACATGTAGAGCGGTCAAGTATTCCATCTCTCTTATATCAGCAATAATTTTAAACAAAGTCAGCATCGAAGGAGGTAGAGAGGATAGCCAACACATAGGAATGCTTCTTCTGGCCGCAGTCAGAACATGCGCGGAGAGTTTCCTGGCCAATTTGGGTAGGCCCGGAAATGGCAGGCTCAATAAAAAGTATAGAGGCTTGAAAGGGAGAGAGGTATGCAATAGCACTTGTAAGAAGGACAAAACCCCTTCGCAAAAAGGAGTAATGGATCCACATGTCCAAAAAATATGGTAGAGAGAGCCAAAGTCCTTCCCACAGCACCAGCAGGCAGAAGAAGCATTCGGGTTATAGGCATGGAGTAGAGATCATCTTAATTTTAAAGTTTTAAAGTGAACCTGAGCTTTACCCATGTCACAGCAGGCTAACCTAATTGCTGCTAGTAACCCCCCCACCAACTCCATGATGACACCTCCTATGGTGCTTATGGTCACAGAGAATGCATTATTATTCACTAGAATAATAGCCAAATTGCTAATGAGTGCCTTAGGAACCTAGGGAGTCATGCAGCCTGGAAGAGAATCAGCTATCACTAAAAAGCACAACATAAAACATGCCAAAAGCGGCAAGGAGAGGGGTAGAGGAGTAAATACGTGACATTTTTAAGAAAGTCATAGCCCAACATATGTTCTTTGTGTGAAATAAGTGATACTGGAGTCCATCTTGAATAACGAAACTGATAACAACACTCACCACCCCGGCATAATGGACCAGCTCAAAGTGAGGCTCGTATCTGCGTTTCTTGTCTACTTTTGGCCTTTGGAAGTTGGGAGATTTCCCCAAGTGGTTGTCATAAAGCTTGGCTTTAAAGGTCATGTCTGATGCTTTAGGGAACATGCACTCTTCTTCCAGAATGGAAAGGATTCCCAGTGGCTAAAGAAGGTTAAAGACAGGTTTGAGTTGAGATTTTTGATTCTAAAAATAACTCAATAAGCAAAAAGAATGAAAATAAAATATAAACTGCAAATGGCACAACTTATGATTTTAACTAACAGCCAAAAAATGAAATACCTCCCCAAAAAAATCAGTTGTGTTAACAATATCAATATGCTATCAGTCGCATAAGACAGCGTTGGCTAGGCTTGTAGGGTCCACTGGACGCCACAGGATAAAAGGCCCACCAGTGCACATAGTTATTCAAAGCCAACACCTAGCCGAATAAAATGACTGCATGTGTTAATGACTCGGTCCGTAAATGTAATCACATTTGCAGTACAAACGAAACACAGGTGAGCAAATAGCATGTGCCCTAGGTATGTCATGTGTTGCCTTCAAAAGTTGGTAATATCCAAATGGACCTTGATAAGAAAAACTATTTATTTGGCTACCCACACTCTCTACTCCCTTACCTTCTCGATGAGGTCAATGCAAGCCTGTAAGTCTAGGCCAAAGTCAATGAAGACCCATTCAATTCCTTCCTTCTTGTACTCTTCCTGCTCCAGCACGAACATATGGTGGTTGAAAAACTGTTGCAGTTTTTCATTGGTGAAGTTGATGCAGAGCTGCTCAAAGCTGTTATACTGAAGAACAAAACACAGAAGGCATTATGGACCCAATTTCAGTTTTTAGCACTTTTTAGATTATTTTCTCTGGCTGTAAAACATTTTCATTATATCAAAAGTCAACATAACAGAGCTTAATAATGTGTATAACAAACCTTCCAGCCATGTCTATAGTCACAGTGAGTTCAAATGAGTGTCCAAAGGGGCATGTCTTACTAAGGATGGACAATGTTTTAATTGAAACAGGTCAAGGTTGGACTTGGAGGGTTTACACTTGAGATTTATAAAATGTAGAGAGGTGTGCAATAAAGCAGTGTTTCTGTAGATGTGGGGCTAGCACCGATGGTTGTACAGGTTAGCTGGTATCACACACAAAGCAATAGTGTGATTGCTTATATCAGCAGCTTTCAATTGCAAAAAAATATCGCCCAACTGATCAAGGCAACCTACCACCAACACTTTAAATCATTTTTATGATGTTGACAGAAACTGCTGGTGATAGGTTGCAATTCTTCATTCGGTAGTTTGGAAAGTAGTTGAATTGCCTGTTGTGTCGTCGGCTTTAGAGGTAGCTCTTGGTAAGATTTGGGATTTACATGCAGTACATATAGAAGAAAAATATATCTGAAATATATTTTAAAAACATTCTTCCCAAATATATTGACATATATTTGAAATGCTACAATTTGGCCATATTCAATATATTTCAAAATGTATTTCAATATGTATGTATGTATATATATCTATATATCTGTGTATATATATATATATATATATATATATATATATATATATATATATATGTGTGTGTATATATATATATATATATATATATATATATATATATATATATATATATACAGTATATACATATACACACTGCATGTTGAAATGTGCTTTTATTACAAAATACATTTCAAATATACTGTATGTCTTTAAAAACACGAATCTACATTTTTGGAATGTATTTACAAATATGTAAACAAAAATGTTAAAATGATTTTTTATATGTTAAAAAAAATCTGAAGAATATATTTTAAAAAATATATATTTTTAAAAAAAAATATTTTTTAAATATATTCTTCAGATGTTTTTATTTATTTATATTTATATATATATATATATATATATATATATATATACTCTGTGTGTTGAAATGCATTTTTTATATATTACAAAATATATGAAAAACATTTTTAAAAATATATTTTTTTAAAATACATTCTTCAGATTTTTTTTAAACATTTAAAAAAGTAATTTTAACATATATTTTTACATATATTTGTGAATGCATTCCAAAAATGTATTTTAAGGTGCCCAATTTTATACTGGAAAGTGTCTTCTTCTAAGGGGCCCGATGGCACACAAAAACAATGACATATTAAAGGCTCTTTCTGATCTCTGGGATGAGAATAAATAGGAGTTATTATAGTAATCCAGAAGGAGGTGTTAATTTGTGAGCAAGGGGGAGTCTGTGAAAACACTTTGGGGTTGATTTACTAAAGGCAGGTCTATTGTGAACTTTGCATTTGGCAAGGGAATGTGCCACAGAGCCTAATGAATGTGATTAAGTTTCATCGTGCAAAGATCAACTAATCACGTCTAAGGAAAAAAACCAAAAAAACAATTATTGCTTGCACAGGATTGGATAATGGAAGGTAGCAGAGCTTCCCCTCAGTCACTAAGTTTTGGTGCAAATATCCTTTCAAAGATGCAATTTCAAATGGAACAGCCTGTTTGCCATTAGTAAATACACCCCCAGGGGCGGACTGACCATTTGCAAACTCGGGCAGTGCCCGAGGGCCCGTGGTCAGTAGGGAGGCCCCATGAGATGCCCCTGGTACCTTTTCATAGGCTTTTTTGAGTTTGGCCAAGGACACAGGGGCCCCATGATCCCCTATTGCCTGGGGGCCCCATGAGTTGTCAGTCCGCCCCTGTACACCCCACTAAATGCTGCAACTATATGTGTGGGGTACGAATAGTAGAGATGGCCCTCCTTGGACAATGCAGAGGTTGTGCTGGTGGCTCAAGGCTGAAAGGTACCACACTAAGGTAACAAATCAAATGAGAGTTAAAAAAAATCTGATTTTATGTGTGTAGCAGTCATGAAGGAAACATAACAGGCACGTATAAAAAATATTCTGTACCTCAAATATTTCAAACCCAGCGATATCCAGTACTCCGATGAAGAACTGCCTGGCCAGTTTGGTATCCAGCGTCCTGTTAATTCGGCTAACAAGCCATTTGAACATTCGATCATAAGTAGCTTTTGCCAAGGCACCAACTGCATATATCACCTGAAAAAGGAGAGAAACAATGGTAAAAAAAACCGCAGCTTTTATCTATCTATAACAGATGGTGGGTATTACACAGCATAGCTGACCATACGCCGATCAATATTTGTCCAGTTCAGCAGGGACCAGCCAACCACCTAATTTCGTGGATGGAGGAACCTGTTGGTTTTTTGATTGAGGGGTACTATATTTCATATTTTATTTAAAATTATATAAATATATATATATATATATAATTTCTTTATTATTATTATGGCTATTCCATTGTTAATAGGATTATACATAGATGATAATAGATCATTTTTAAATAACCTTGTTTTGAAGAATTTTCCGCATGCCAGTTCAGCAGGGACCAGCCAACCACTAATTTCGTGGATGGAGGAACCTGTTGGTTTTTTGATTGAGGGGTACTATATTTCATATTTTATTTAAAAAATTATATATATATATATATATATATATAATTTCTTTATTATTATTATGGCTATTCCATTGTTAATAGGATTATACATAGATGATAATAGATCATTTTTAAATAACCTTGTTTTGAAGAATTTTCCGCATGCCAGTTCAGCAGGGACCAGCCAACCACTAATTTCGTGGATGGAGGAACCTGTTGGTTTTTTGATTGAGGGGTACTATATTTCATATTTTATTTAAAATTTTATATATATATATATATATATATATATTATTTTTTATTATTATAGCTATCCCATTGTTAATAGGATTACACATAGATGATAATAGATAATTTTTAAATTTTTTTCTGCATGTTCTCTACACCACTTTTTATGTACAATATTCAGAAACTCGAGAAGCGTATTTATTGTATAGTTTGTGTCCTCTAGTAGCCGTTGGAACTTGTTGGCTTTTTATTGAACCAAACATTAAAGAGTAAAATGATAACTAAACACCACTGATCTACAGAATACTCTCAGAAATATAATTTCCTTCTCATGGGATTGGCTCACTAATTTTCCCAGAAGTCTATACAGGTCAGATTTGAGCATCCTCTGCAACAAAAATTTCCTTTTTGTTGAGATACTCAAAGGGATAGCAAAGGGTTAACCACTTAACCAAGGCATGCAGACTCTGCATTTTCCTTATTAGAACACTTTGCAGGTGCATCAGCCGATTAACCACTTCCCGTCCAGTGCATGTATATAAATGGCCGGACAGGAGCAGTGCAGGACTTGTCATGTTCCCCCCTGCGATTTGTCCAGGTGGCCACTGGTGTGGCCCTGCCTCCTGTCCTTTCCCGGTTCCCCACTCCCCCTTTTCTCACTCTCCTGTGCTTGTTTCTTTTCTTTTGTTTTTCCTTCTTTCTATATTTTCTACAGTGCGCTATCCAGAGACAGATTTATTTATTTATTTCAGGTACTTATAAGCGCTGTCAATTTACGCAGCGCTTTACATATATTGTACATTCACATCAGTCCCTAACCCTCAAGGGGTGTACAATCTAAGGTCCCTAACTCATTCATACATACACATATTAGGGCCAATTTAGACAGGAGCCAATTCACCTACCGGCATGTCTTTGGAGTGTGGGAGGAAATCAGAGTACCCGGAGGAAACCCATGCAGGCACAGGGAGAACATGCAAACTCCAGGCAGGTGGCGCCGTGGTTGGGATTCGAACCAACGACCCGAGTACTGCCAGGCGGAAGTGTTAACCATTTAGCCACTGTGATGCCCGATAATAAAGGGTCCGATAATTATGTCACATTATCTAGCCCCTTCCTTTCCTGAATGAACACAAGGAGTGATCGGTACTGATTACTCACTGTGTTCATTCATAACTGAAGCCTATAAACTGTTTTTTTTTTTTTTTTAAGGGGGCCCTTTCAGGTTGGCTGTATGGGGCCCCATGGTTTCCAACAGCAGCCCTGTCTGAGGAAAAAAAAAACTACATTTAAAGTGGAGTTCCACTTACCCTGTCAAAAAATAAAAGTCACCAGCTACAAAAACTGTATTCCAGGAGGCTGGCATCTTCAGTGCATGCACCCAGCTTGCCGCTTCACAGCCGGGTGCCCACTGCGCATGCACGAGTAGCGCTGCACTTCATGAATGGTCCTGTAGTCTTCTGGGACCAGTCACGTGTTCCCAAAAGGCTACAGGGAGGGAGGACACCTTCCCATCACCTAGGCGATCGGACCGGAAGTGGGAGCGGGTACCTGTCAAATTCGGGTATCCGCTCCCCCCACGCCCCCCCAAAGGTGCCAATCTTTAATGGGGAGCAGTCCTTAAAGTGGAACTTCCTCTTCTGGGTGGAGCTCCGCTTTAATGACAGATATTAATGTTCCTTAGCTTAGGCTGCGTTTCTGGGTCATATGTGTTGTTTTCTGATATTCCTCTAATTGTACTGTTGAGGTGTTCAGATTGTTTTTCTCTTTTTGGATTGTCTTCATGCTTAAGACCACTGCTCTGGTCCCATATGTCTGTACTCACTGTTCCTTTTTTTTCTACATGTCTTCTTATAAAAAGTAATAAAGACAAATTTGCCTTTAAAGTGGTATTAAAGGTCCAACCAATCATGTTATATATATACACCTGCTTCATGCAGTGGTTTTGCACACAGCAGCCCCTATCTTCTTTTTCTCAGGTCCCCCACCAGCAATACCGGCTCCTCCTCCTTGACCAGTGCCCCCAATAGCAAGCCACTTGCTATGGGGGCACTGGTACATGCTCGCTCCAAAGCCCAGCTCTATGCGTCCATAAGACACATAGAGCTGTGCCTCAGCCCTGCCCCTCCCACTCTCTCCTCATTGGCTCACTGGCTGTGATTGACAGCAGTGGGAACCAATGGCTCCTGCTGCTGTCTCAGCCAATGAGGAAAGGGAGTCCTGGGACAGCCAAGGCTCTCGTGCACTTTGCTGGTTCAAGAGGGGGCTTAGGTGAGTATTGGGGGGGGGAGCTGTGGGGGGAGAAGCACACAGAAGTTTTTTACTTTTGTGCATAGAATGCATGAAGGTAAAAAAATCTTCAGCCCTTACAACCAATTTAACTTCCACATGCTGCCGAACATAAGTGTTGCTGAGTGGCCGATGTTTATATGCTGAGAGTTCGCTGATTGTACACTCGCACACAGCAGCCCCTATCCTCTTTCTCTCAGGTCCCCCTGCCAGCAATACTGGCTCCTCCTCCTTGACCAGTGCCCCCAATAGCAAGCCACTTGCTATGGGGGCACTGGTACATGCTCGCTCCCAAGCCCAGCTCTATGCGTCCATAAGACACATAGAGCTGTGCCTCAGCCCTGCCCCTTCCCAACTCTCTCCTCATTGGCTCACTGGCTGTGATTGACAGCAGTGGGAACCAATGGCTCAGCCATTGAGGAAAGGGAGTCCTGGGACAGCCAAGGCTCTTGTGCACTTTGCTGGTTCAAGAGGGGGCTCAGGTGAGTATTGGGGGGGGGGGGGCACACAGAAGTATTTTACTTTCGTGCATGGAATGCATTAAGGTAAAAAAATCTACAGCCCTTACAACCAATTTAACTTCCACATTCTGCCGAACATAAGTGTTGCTGAGTGGCCGATGTTTATATGCTGAGAGTTCGCTCATTGTACGCTCTCCGCACAAAGACAGAGAGCTTTCGGTCCAAGCTGCAGGTCAATAACCAGGGGATGGGCTTCCAATCATGGGACCCCTGTGACAGCGGTCACATGATTGCAGATTATTCCCACCCCCCCAGGCATTCCTGAACTATTTAACGGAAACGGTAATCAACCTTTAGCTGCACCCCTGAGTGTTTCAACGTAAATCAGTATTCATCTGCATCTCTCTTGACTTACCTGCTCCACATTCTGGCCTTTGGTCACATATTCATTCCCAACCTTCACTCTGGGATGGAGCAAACCTTTAATGAGATCAGCTGAGCTGATTCCCATTAGATAGGCTACCTTGTCGGCATCTGGGAATGGAAATAAATTAGAAGTCATTTGGGCGTGGCCATGAAATGTAAGACCGCATTGCTCCTTTTGTGGGGTCCGGTGGGGGGATTGCCACATTACATCTGCATTGACTTACTTTCAGTGCCATCGGCTTCAGCCTGCTCCTCCCTTTGCTTCTGCTTGAACTTCATGTTTCCAAAATGCATGACGGCACCAACTATTTTATAGCTGCCAGTCCTCTCCTCTGGGCTGAAACCCAGGATATCCATGGCATGCTGGGAAAGAGAACACAACATGCAAGATGACATAAGTCGATGCGTCTGGACATTGAACGAGGTAACAATGTACCAATCAAATAAAAAAGTAATATATGTTAGCTACCGGCAAATATATATTTTATATTCTACATCGATCTTAATGGTTACAGCAATACTTATAAAAATGCAATCAGATCATTTGTTGACTAGAAGTTAGTAGGGGTATTTTTCCAGGCCTTGTCAACTGATTTCTAGTCAGTTGAGAGCAGTCAATATTTTATTTTATGCCCCATTCACATCTAACCATTTGGAATGTAGGCTGAATCCATTTGGATTTCCACCTGGGATCAGACATTTCTTCACTTCGAGTCCCAAAAAAAACCGCATTTCAACATACAGAGTGTATGTATGTGTGTGTATGTATATATATATATATATATATATGTATATATAAATTTTATTTATTTTTTTTAAATATATGGAATATGGCTAAAATTTTAGTATTTCAAATACATGTCACTGTATTTGGGAAGATTATTTTTAAATCACATTTCAACATACAGTGTGTATGTATGTGTGTGTTTTGTGTGTGTATGTATATATATATATATATATATATATATATATATAATATTATTTTCTTTAAATATGTTGAATACGGCCAAAATTGTAGTATTTTCTAATATATATCAATATATTTGGGAAGAATATTTTTAAAACGCACCTCAACATACAGAGTGTATGTGTGTCTATGTATGTATGTGTGTGTATGTATGTATATGTGTGTGTATGTATATGTATGTATATATATATATATATATATATATATATATATATATAAAAATATTTTTTTAATACACTGAATACGGACAAAATTTTAGTATTTCAAATATATGTGATTATATTTGGGAAGAATATTTTTAAAACACATTTCAACATACAGTGTGTATGTTGTGTGTATAATGTATATAATATATATATATATTATATAATTTTTTTTTCTTTTTTAAATATACTGAATACGGCCAATTGTATTTCAAATATATTTCAGTAAATTTGGGAAGAACATTTTTAAACCGCACTTCAACATACAGAGTGTATGTATGTATGTATGTATGTATGTATGTATGTGTGTATATATATATATATATATATATATATATATATACATTTTTTTTTTTTTTTAATATACTGAATACGGCCAAAATTGTAGTATTTCAAATATATGTCAATATATTGGGAAGAATATTTTTAAAACACATTTCAACATTGTGTGTGTGTGTATATATATATATATATATATATATATATAATTTTTTTTTTTAAAATATACTGAATACGGCCAAAATTGTAGTATTTCAAATATATGTCAATATATTTGGGAAGAATGTTTTTAAAATGTATTTCAAATGTATTTTTCTTCCATGTGGGTAACCCTGAAGGTTTAGGTTGTGACAACCGGTCCCTCAAAGCCACTATTTGTGCCGAACTTGTTGCCACCTTTCTTTCAAGTGTCACCACATACCATGCAGCACCAGCGTCCACCACCACTGGTACTGCATCATAAAAAAAAAAAAATGCCTATGCCTGCCCAATCCGGTGGTGAGGAAGGGAGAAACAAACTGACAGCTACTGCAAGCTTGTTTCATGTGTAAATGGTGATTGTGTAAATACTTGCTACTTGTGATACTTCTGATACAAATTTCTATCACGGTTTTCATGACATATGTTGATACCAGGGGCGGACTGACAACTCATGGGGCCCCCGGGCAATAGGGGATCATGGGGCCCCTGTGTCCTTGCCCAAACTTAAAAAAGCCTATGAAATAGGTACCAGGGGCATCTCATGGGGCCCCTTACTGACTGCGGGCCCTCGGGCAGTGCCCGAGTTTCCAAATGGTCAGTCCGCCCCTGGTTGATACACTAATTCAGATCACTCACATCAGTTCCCATAAGCTCTTCCCCATCGTCGAGGTTGTCCACAGTTGTTACACCTTGTGAACAGAAGTGATAGTCGTACGGGTTGGTAGAGAGTAGCAGCATATCTGTAATAAAACATTCGCAGGGGATTAGACAAAATATATCCATTTTCCTTTAATGCCACTTAATAGATATCTGAGGTTCTCGTTGGGGTATTCTGAACATTTTGGCTTTGGTCAGGCTACAGGCCATGGTCTTGTTGCCTTCAGCGCCTCCAGCTTTGTAGAATGTTAATAAACAAAAATACGTGGACGTGTGAAAGGTATAGCTTTTTAGGTGGGAACAAGTAAGAGCAACTCTGGGAGACTCTGGGTTATCGTCCTCTAAGTAAGCTTCTTATGGCTAAATAATGAGACTGTCTTCTGGAAATTCAAAGAGTTTTGGATATCTAAAGGGTTACTTCATTGGGTTTGGCTCCTATTAGTGAGGGGTATATCATCTGTTAATCAGCTTCTTGCACTAAAGCGAGGGGTACTGTTTATGTTACAGCATAATAACGTATTTTAGATAAGTATACACTTACAGGCGTACCTCGGTTTACGAACGCCTCGGTTAACATAATTTTTGGTTAACGAATGAAAATCCATTGAATATAATGCCTCGGTTTACAAATTTTTTTCACAATATGAAGTAAGTTTCCCCAGGATGCATTGAGCCTGGGACGTTTATAGCGCCAACCCCATAAAAAACATAAAGTCCAATTGAATGACGAAACGCGTCAGTTGGAGCTTCGGGACGGTGGCCATTTTCCTGGTTGGAAACTTGATACAAATGCTGGTAACCATCCAATAAAATGTACGAGTAACTTGTAATAAACAGGGTGATTTTATTATTTAACTACTACACTACAGGCGTACCTCAGTTTACGAACGCCTCGGTTAACGTAATTTTCACTTTACGAATGAAAATCCATTGAAAATAATGCCTCGGTTTACAAATTTTTTTCGCAATATGAAGTAAGTTTCCCCAGGATGCATTGAGCCTGGGAAGTTTATAGCGCCAACCCCATAAAAAACATAAAGTCCAATTGAATGACGAAACGCGTCAGTTGGAGCTTCGGGATGTGGCCATTTTCCTGGTTGGAAACTTAATACAAATGCTGGTAACCATCCAATAAAATGTACGAGTAACTTGTAATAAACAGGGTGATTTTATTATTTAACTACTATACTACAAGTGGTCTTTTTCTTATATTCCTTATCTAAACATTGGATGGGAGTCTTCTTTTAGGACCTGTTTAGACCTTTGAGAGGAGGATTGAAATCTGTTCTGAGGGGGATTGCCAGTTCCATTATCTGCACATATTCATCCCCCATTTGAAGTTGCCTATATTGACTGATGTGTTTCGGTCAGAATTTCTGGTAAGAGGCTGAACCATTCGGGTGTCCTGGTGATGGTGGATCGTGGGAATTGCATTTGGGACTTTTTAAACTGGAATTTTTTTTTAACAATTGGACTTTAGTAACTATGTAACATGGTTTGCATATATGGGCAGATTTCAGGTTGTTTTACCTTGAAGCTCTGGCTTTTTCCCAGACAGAATCTGATAATAAATATGATAGCTTCTTTCTCCGGGCTGCTGGAAAATTACTCTTGATTTTTCCAGAAGGTCTGAAAGCATAAATACAAATATTTGTGATGTTTATATCATAATGAAAGAAGTTTCACAACTGCAAAAAATGTAAAGTGTATAAAAAAAAACCACACAATAAGCATCTCCTAGCATTTTGTTATATCTGTTCAGTTAAAGAACAAAAATACCTATTGATCTTGCCAGAAATCTGGTGTGCTCCCATATACTCAGCAGTTTTTTCTCAGCCCTGCTCAGTTCATCTCTTTGGACTACAATTTATTTGAGGTACTTATATAGTGTTCAGGGGTGGACTGACCATTTGGGCACTGCTCAAGAGCCCAGGGTCAGTAGGGGGCCCCATGAGATGCCCCTGGTACCTTTTATAGGCTTTTTTGGGTGTGGGTGAAGACACACGGGCCCTATGATCCTCTATTGCCTGGGTGCCCCATGAGTTGTTAGTCCACCCCTGATAGTGCTGGTACCTTTCATAGGCTTTTTCAAGTGTGGGTGAGGACACAGGGGCTCCATGATCCCCTATTGCCCAGGGGCCCCATGAGTTGTCAGTCCGCCCCTGATAGTGCTGTCAATTTACGCAGTGCTTTACATATATTGCACATTCACATCAGTCCCTAACCCTCAAGGGGTTTACAATCTAAGGCCCCTAACTTACATACACATACTAGGGACAATTTAGAAAAGATCCAATTCACCTGCCAGCATGTTTTTGGAGGGAACCAGAGTACCCGGAGTAAACCCACGCAGTCACAGGGAGAGCATGCAAACTCCAGGCAGGTGGTGCTGTGGTTCGGATTTGAACCAACGACCCTAGTACTGCCAGGCGGAAGTGCTAACCATTTGCCCACTGCAATCACTTTACCCTACACTTTGGAGATGTGGGAAGGGGAGGAATTTTGTAGTCCTCTCCTGACAACATTGCTCATATATATATATACAGTATGGTTAAGTGAGTGTTAACATGCAAGGACAGAATGTGTGTTACTGACAAGGTCATCACGTGAAAAGTTATTAATTTTTTTACTATCCTAAAAAAAGAGGAGCCACCATATAAGAGCACTGGTAGCATGACATATATATCCATTCAGTTGTATCCGACCCTTGGCGATTGCATGGACTGTCACTCACAAGTAACTTTTTCCATGAATTCTCTTACCAATTATTTTACAGGGTAGGTTGCCAGGTCTTTCCCCAACCCCCACCATGCAGGAGATCCCACATGGCCAGGGATGAAAGTAGGACAATTTAGACAGAAGCCAACTAACCTACCAGCATGTCTTTGGAGTGTGGGAGGAAACTAGAGTACCCAGAGGAAACCCACACGAACACAGGAGGCTCCATGGTTGGGAATCAAACCCATGGCCCATGCAGGAGGCACCATGGTTGGGAATCATCGAACCCATGGCCCATGCAGGAGGCACCATGGTTGGGGAATCGAACTCATGGCCCATGCAAGAGGTGCCATGGTTAGGAATCAAACCCATGGCCCATGCAGGAGTTGAATCCCCAGGAGTTGCCATGGTTGGGAATCAAACCCATGGCCCATGCAGGAGGTAGCATGGTCGGGAATCGAACCCATGGCCCATACAGGAGGTGCCATGGTTGGGAATCAAACCCATGGCCCAATTACTGCAAGGCAGAAGTGCTAACCACAAAGCCACTGTGCCACATATATATATTGTTTGTGGGTTTAGATCATGAGCGCTCAACCTGTGGCCCTCCAGGTGTTGCAGAACTACAACTCCCATCATGCTTTTGCCTTTGGGAGGCATGTTTGTAACTGTCAGCCTTGAAATGTATCATGGGACTTGCAGTTCCGCACCAGTCAGAGGGCCACAGGTTGAGCACCCATGGTTTAGAAACACTTTAAATATCCTTAAGAGTTGCCCTTTGTAACAGCAAAATCAGTAATTTTGCAACACGCACAACTTTGCTGGAATCACTTTACTCATCCTTAATGAGAAGAATAGCAGCTCTGCTAGAAATGCATCAAATCAATGGCCGGCCGGCCTTTGTACTTTCTGCACGCAATATCTTTGCTGAGATACTCACAGATGTCAATGTCAGCAGAAGCCAGTTTTCCGGTAGGTCCAAAATGGATTCGAATAAACTTCCCCTATGAGAAAAAATACATTGTAACCTACAAACACAGACCATCAGTATACACAACATAGCACCTAATCATTCGCAAAAGACAAATTATTATACCAACAACAGGAGCAAAAAAGTACAGGATGTAAAATTTTTCTAACAACTTACAAATCGGGAGGAATTATCATTTCTCAGTGTCTTGGCATTGCCAAAGGCTTCCATCGCTGGATTAGCTTCAATAATTTGGTCTTCTAGGGTGCCCTGAATATCCAATAAATATATTATATGTCACATACATATTACCATACATAGGGGTACAGACATTTTGTTTGTTGGCTCTGAGGAAGAGGCAAGCCCTCAAAACGTGTTAGCAGGGGCGGACTGACCAGTTGGAAACTCGGGCACTGCCCTAGGGCCCGGGGTCAGTAGGGGGCCCCATGAGATGCCCCTGGTACCTTTTTTATAGGCTTTTTTGAGTTTGGGCAAGGACACAGGGGCCCCATGATCCCCTATTGCCCAGGGGCCCCATAAGTTGTCAGTCCGTCCCTGCGCGTTAGTGTGTTGGAAGTCCAGGGTTCCCATTGCGGATGGTCATGTAGTGTGGATTGGACAGTGCCGCTCTTTACAACGTGCCTTTGACATTATCGTCATTTATGAGTATGACAGTATCCCGAAGGCAGGAGCGGAGGGTGCGCGCCACAACTGGTGACACCTACCGCACGTGGTGACACCGGACCCGCTCCGAGAAAAGGTAAGTTGTAAAGCAAGCTGACGATCCCCACAGGATGGATCAGGTCTGCGGATTGAGCATAATGGATCAGACTCCGATCCATTATGCTCCCCAATCCGCAGATCTGATCCATCCTGCGGGAATCGTCGGCTTGCTTTACAACTTACCTTTTCGTGGAGCCGGTCCGGTGTCACCCCGTATAGGTTGCATGCCGATGATCCCCGCAGGATGGATCGGATCTGCGGATTGAGGAGCATAATGGATCAGAGTCCGATCCATTATGCTCAATCTACAGATCCGATCCATTCTGCGGGGATCGTCGGAGGGGGTGTCATCAAGTGTTACCGCACTGGGTGACACCAACCCTAGGGACGCCCCTGGCTGCAATTAAGCTGCACATGTAAACATAGCCTAAATCAGTTACTTGTATGCCCATGAGTCCAAGGAGGTGTCACCAGTCAGGTGACACCAGTAATCCTGATTAGTGTGCCCCCAACAATGAGCCTTCAGTGTCCTCACTGTTACCTTACGGATATCTCGTCATACGTGGCGTGAAATTCAGCCGGTTCAACATGAAGAGGATGAATTTCGATCCATGTATGTCCATTCCTTTTCAAGAGGAGTCGATCTAGTGATCCATTCTGCGGGGATTGTCGGAGGGGATGTTATCGCACCGGGTGACACAACCCTAAGGACGCCCCTGGAGTACGATACCTATCTTTATTTCTTCAATAAATGTTTTTTTACAGTAATTCAGAGGCCGATGTGCTCTCTGTTTGTTTTCTTTATATTACCATACATACTGTTTGGTAATGAGAAAACTATCCCTTTATTGCACATAAAAAAATAATCCTGAACTCAGCGGCCAGACTCATCCACCTTACCAACTGCTCTGCTTCTGCCACCCCCCTCTGCCAATCCCTCCACTGCTCCACCCCCTCTGTCATTCCCTCCACTGGCTTCACCCCCCTCTGTCATTCCCTCCACTGGCTTCACCCCCCTCTGTCATTCCCTCCACTAGCTTCACCCCCCTCTGTCATTCCCTTCACTGGCTTCACCCCCCTCTGTCATTCCCTCCACTGGCTTCACCCCCCTCTGTCATTCCCTCCACTGGCTTCACCCCCCTCTGTCATTCCCTCCACTGGCTCCACCCCCCCCTCTGTCATTCCCTCCACTGGCTCCACCCCCCTCTGTCATTCCCTCCACTGGCTTCCGATTCCCCAACGCATTAAATTCAAACTACTAACATTGACATACAAAGCTATCCATAACGCTGCCCCAAACGACCTCACCGACCTGATACCCAAATACCACCCAACACGTAATCTTTGCTCCTCACAAGACCTCCTACTTTCTAGCTCCCTGGTCTCCTCCTCCCACGCCGGACTGCAGGACTTCTCCAGGACTTCCCCCATCCTCTGGAACTCACTACCCCAATCTATCAGACTGTCACCTACCCTCCTCACCAGGGTCGGACTGATAACTCATGGGGCCCCCGGGCAATAGGGGATCATGGGGCCCCTGTGTCTTCGCCCACACTCAAATCACACGCAAAAAAGCCTATGAAAGGTACCAGGGACATCTCATGGGGCCCCCTACTGACCCCGGGCCCTCAGGCAGTGCCCGAGTTCCCCAATGGTCAGTCCACCCCTGCTCCTCACCTTTAGACACACCCTGAAAACCCATCTCTTCAGGGAAGCCTACCCCACCCTCACCTAACAGCCGATCTCCTCCACTCCTCCTACCACTCCATCCCCCACAGCCACTTCCTCCTGTACCACTATCCCCTCCCTCCTAGATTGTAAGCTCCAAGGAGCAGGGCCCTCGAACCCCTCGTGTATTGTTCTGTTACTGTATTGTCTCATGTTCTGTCCCCCACTATAATGTACAGCGCTGAGCAAACCTTTTGGCGCTATATAAATACTGTATAATAATAATAATAATAATTAAAACACTTATATATACAGTGTATTTACTGGATATACAAATGTTAGAAAGAGATTGCACAAAAAAAGTTTTTTTTGTTTTTTTTTTGTGGGGTACAAGAAACCATGCATGAGGCAGGAGCAGAGGCGGACTGACCATTTGGAAACTCGGGCACCGCCCGAGGGCCTGGGGTCAGTAGGGGGCCCCATGAGATGCCCCTGGTACCTTTTTCATAGATTTTTTGAGTTTGGGCAAGGACACAGGGGCCCCATGATCCCCTATTGCCCGGGGGCCCCATGAGTTGTCAGTCCGCCCCTGGGCAGGAGCATTACAAGTAGACAACCGCTCAGCATGTACACAGTATGACAGGTTTAGAGCAGCCATCTCCATTTGCATGAATCCACACATCCAGCGGTTACCTGCGATCAGGGATGAATGAGCGACCCTGGTCTCAGATACATGTCTATGAGGACTCTTTCTGAAAATGCCAGTTCCAGGGGCGGACTGACCATTTGAAAACTCGGCACTGCCCGAGGGCCCGGGGTCAGTAGGGGGCCCCATGAGATGCCCCTGGTACCTTTTTCATAGGCTTTTTTGAGTTTGGGCAAGGACACAGGGGCCCCATGAGTTGCCCGGGGGCCCCATGAGTTGTCAGTCCGCCCCTGGCCAGTTCCTTGGATATCGTGCTGATCTAATGGCTTCACTAGCTATTTTACAAAAAATCCATTATACTAAATATTTTACTAAAATACATTTTACTAAATATCGAAGTAAAATAAAATAAATACATTATTTTATTTCTACTGCAACACACTCGCCCCGCTGTGCATCTTTTCAGGCCCTATAATTCATGCTCTCTTTGTGCTGCAAAATAAATAAAAACTGTTTTTAATTTATGCATACATATATGTTTTAAAAACTATATCACTTACCCCAGTTTTGGTGGCTGGAGCTTGCTAGAAAAAAGAAAAAAAAGAGCTATCATGTGACATTATTCATCAATGGTTATACAGGACACCAAACTACATAAAGCTGTCAATTAACAGGTATTTAGATGCTGCCAAGTAACATAGATAGCTTTTTATTAAGCTGCAAAAATGCAGAGGGAACAAAATCAAGGATAAAAAAAAAAAAAAATTAAATATTGTAAAGAAGCAAAAGGGAAATGTTTTAAACCATAATTAAATTAAATAAAAAAATTAAATATTGTAAAGAAGCAAAAGGGAAATGTTTAAACCATAATTAAATGAAAGAAAAACCAAATACACCTTATAAAGCAAAGCCCAAGGAGAATCAATTGCACAATAACACTAAAAAAGGTAAAGCGATTAAAATAAAAAATGAGAGAGAAAATATGAATGAGAAGCTGTTAAATCCAGATGATTTGAGAATAAAGCAGATGGTCTAAAAAAAATTATCAGGATAAAAAAAAAAAAAAACGCCAATAGGAATACGGAGTAAAAGAAAAGAAATGATTGAAAGTATGTAAAAATATTTTAGTGCCATTTGGGAAAAAGAAAAGACTAGTATTGTGACATTAGGAAGTAGAAAGTTTCAAGCTTCATATGGTCTTGACATGACACTGGAGCCACCTGACGACCATAAATTAGATGTGGAAGGGCTTGTTTCGATTTCCAGTTGGGAGGGGTATTAAAAACACGTGGTTAAGCTGCGTTTTTAACACCCATCAACCACCCCCCTCAAGCTGCAAAGGCAGTGGACTGGGGTGTTCACATACCGTGGTTGCAATACTTTGCTTAGTGCCCCCACAGCAAAAAAATATTGCTCCTGAAGGCAGTGTGACACCGCTGAATGCAACCCCTCCAAGCAAATGGGTATGCACTGCAAACATCCTGCAACATATTGCAATGGGCAGTTGCAACGCAATGTAGCAACATTTACGGGGTTAAAACAGGTGGTCTGGAAGCATCATAACACCTCATCACTATCTGAAGCATTCTGAATGCGATCGCTTTTCAGAGGAGCTGCAATCAGTGGTGTCCCGAGCAGGGGCGGACTGACAACTCATGGGGCCCCCGGGCAATAGGGGATCATGGGGCCCCTGTGTCCTTGCCCACACCCAAAAAAGCCTATGGAAAATCCAATGAAAGGTACCAGGGGCGTCTCATGGGGCCCCCTACTGACCCCGGGCCCTCGGGCAGTGCCCGAGTTTCCAAATGGACCCCTGGTCCCGAGGCAGGTGTGGGGAGTGCACGCCACACTGGGTGACACCTACCGCACAGGGTGACACCGAACCCGCTCCACAAAAAGGTAAGTTGTAAAGCAAGCCGACGATCCCCGCAGGATGGATCGGATCTGCAGATTGGGGAGCATAATGGATCTGACTCCGATCCATTATATATATATATATATATATATATATATATATATATATATATATGTGATTTTGCATTCAAGGGTAGGGGCATGCATGAGCCGCCTATATATACCCCTGCCGCCCTGTAGTAGTATTTCTGCTGTAGGGCGGCAGGAAGGTAGTTAAAAAAAAATAAGTCTTTAGAATCACTTTAAGATTTTTGTTCCAGGAGCTCAGTTTTAATTATACAGGTGTACCGCGGTTTACGAATTTAATGCGTTTTGCGGGACTTTTCGTATTGTGAAAAATTTGTAAACCGAAACGCGGTTTCCCATAGGAATGCATTGCAAACCAATTAATCCAGAAAAAAAAGTTAAAAAGAAAGTCTATCTGTTCAAAACTCTTTATAAAGTGCACTTTACAGGCATAAATACTGTACAGGGACGTGATTATAACAAAAATTTGTAAATGCATTGAAAACCAATTAATCTGTTCCAGAGGTCATAAAAAAGTAAATAAAAAGTCTTATCTGTTCCAAACTCTTTATAAAGTGCACTTTAAAGGCATAAATACTGTACAGGGACATGAGTAAAAAAAAATTTGTATATGCATTGGAAACCAATTAATCCGTTCCAGAGGTCAGAAAAAAGTGCAAAAGAATCTTATCTGTTCAAAACTCTTTATCAAGTGCACTTTACAGGCATAAATACTGTACAGGGACGTGATTGTAAAAAAATGTGTAAATGCATTGAAAACCAATTAATCTGTTCCGGAGGTCATAAAAAAGTTAAAAAAAAAGTCTTATCTGTTCAAAACTCTTTGTAAAGTGCACTTTAAAGGCATAAATACTGTACAGGGACATGATTATAAAAAAAAAATTGTAAATGCATTGAAAACCAATTAATCCATTCGTATTGCGAAAAAAATTCATAAACCGAGGAATTGTTTTTAATGGATTTTCATTTGGAAACCAAAAATGACGTTAACCGAGGTGTTTGTAAACCGAGGTACGCCTGTATTCAGCTTCAAAAGCAGCACAGTGCAAACACTACAAGCAGTCCTCTTCTACAACTGTCTTACTTATATCATGTGCTCTGATTTTCTTCCAGGTGGCTATCCATCTCACTGCTGTGTAGGAGGACCATACTAGATCCAAAGAGACTGTCATATTAAAGTGTACCTAAAGTTACTTTTTTTTTGAGAGAGAGCAGTGAGGGAGGATAGAACCTCTGTCCAGGTTTTTCCAAAATTTCGATTTGTCACCAGAACATAAATAGAGGGGAAATCTTCCCCTAAATAAAATGGGATTTCTCTCACTTTAGAGAGATTTTTTTTTTTCATTTTCTGTCTATGGAGCAGGATGTAACAGGAAAAATCCCCAATAGGTTACAGATTGCAAGAAAAACCTGACAGGAGTTATCACAGTTCCCTACTTTTCTGGATTTATATACCTTTTAGCTCACCACATTTGTGAACTTTGCAAGGGCAAGTCATTCTGTAGGTCTGACTTTGCTTATAAAGCCTATAAAATACTTTCAACAGATCAACCGTTGTGGTCATTACCAAAATTTCTAGTTATATAGTTCGTGATGACGTCACATGCCGAAACTCAAACCGACGCGTTTCGTCATCAAAATTGGACTTTGTTTTTTATGTTTTTTTTATTAGAGCTGCAAATTTGATTTATTTTTTATTATGTATATTGCCTGATATGCTAGCTGCTTTTCTCTGATTTTTATTTCATGTTCTGTAGTTACATGTTTGGTCTATTTACCCAAACGCAGGTTTATGGTTTTTGTTTTCATGTTACATAGTTAGTCTGGCTAAAAAAAGACAAAAGTCCATCCAGGTCAACCATTAAAAAAAACAAAAAAGTTATAATCCTATACCCACAGTTGATCCAGAGGAAGGCAAAAAAAAACCCCCAGCAAAGCATGATCCAATTTGCTCCTGCAGGGAAAAAAAATCCCTTCCTGATCCCCCGAGAGGCAATCGGATATTCCCTGGATCAACTTTACCTATAAATGTTCTATCCAGTTATATTCTGTGTATCCAAGAAAGAATCCAGGACTTTTTTAAAGCCTAGTACAAGGCTTGTTTTACAAACTCGTATATTGATACTTTAGTTGATGTTAAAGGGTGGGAAGCCAGTTTGAAAGCATGTAAGAAGTCAAGAAAGCAAGAGAAGATAGTAATAGGGGTTCAAAAATAAATGGTAAAATCACGGCAAGGGAAGCGCTGCCAAAGGCTCATTCTTACACTCTTCTTCCCGATCCCTTCACCAAGGGCTGCCACAATGGCAAAGTACTGAATTACACGTTTCGTATTAACAGTTTTGCCTGCACCGGATTCTCCACTTGGGGTAGCAGAAGGATGGTAGATGATAAATGGAGGAAGAGTAATTCAGTATCATTAAGCTGGATCGATGATGATGATAATACAACACTGGACTCAGTCCACAAAAAAAATGCATAAAACCCAAATGCTTCTATCTTGGAGGAACCATAATTGTTTTGAAACCAACAATAAATTCTTCAAATATCTGGTATAGAATTGGCCAATTTCAGTGGAGTTTGGGCTTCTTACGGTGGGACCTAAAATTTGAGCTTCTTAAGGAAGGACTTAAGGTGGAACCTAGAGTGGGATCTAAAGTTTCTCCAACTGTAGACATTACATTGTTGGTAGACATGTAAATATAGATTCATAGCCCCTAATTCAGAAACTGACTGAAAGGTTCAAGCATATACATGCATTATACCATAAACAATGAGATGAAATCAAGAAAACCTTCACTAAAAGAATGTCACAGCAAACATAAAGCAACAAATTAGAAGAAAACAGGAAAATAATAGTTTATAATGCTCTATTTTTCCTTTATTTAAATCGGGGTCTCCAAATTTTTCAGTATGAGGGCCATATTATTGATTTACAGGTATTCGTGGGCCGAAAGAAATCGGATTTATAAAGAATCCCCCCTACATGCAGGAGTGCCGATCAGAGTCCCCCCCCCCCTTAAGTGAATGTAATGAAATATGAACAAAGCATATCTCTATATAGTGTCTACTTATCTCAGGCAGCACAGTGGCTAAATGGTTAGCACTTCCGCCTGGCAGTGCTAGTGTTGTTGGTTTGAATCCCAACCATGGCACCACCTGCCTGGAGTTTGCATGTTCTCCCTATGCCTGTGGGTTTTCTCCAGTTTCATTATTGTTTTGAAACCAGCAATAAATTCTTCATATATCTGGTGTAGAATTGGCCAGTTTAAGTGGAGTTTGGGCTTCTTACGGTGGGACCTAAAATTTGAGCTTCTTAGGGAAGGACTTAAGGTGGAACCTAGAGTGGGATCTAAAGTTTCTCCAACTGTAGACATTAAATTATTGGTAGACATGTAAATATAGATTAGAATGTAGATAAGTACCTGTCATAAATAATAAATGCAGTCAAGTGTGTATGAGATGGTGACGCTTTGCTGCAATCTGTATGAGTGTTGAGTTATGCAGGCCATAGATGGGATGAAAAACGGCCGAAAATCGGCTGAAAAAATTTTCGGATCATTAGTGCGGTAATTGGTCGGCTGTTTTTAGTGATTTTTGCCCTTTTGGATTATCGGTCCTGCTGGAAAATAATCGGCCAAATTTGTCGTTCTGCCGATTTTCACGGCAATGATGGACAAATCTGTCGATCTTTTTCCGATTTTAAAAAATGCACATGAGCAGTGACATGAAAGAAGAAGGAAAAGAAGAAAAGGAACAAAACAGAATATGAATGAGAAGAAGAAATAGAATATGAATAAAAAGAAGAAATAGAATATAAAGAAGAAGAAAAGAAGAAATAGAATATGAATAAGAAGTAGAAGAAAAGAAATAGAAAAGGAAGAAGTAGAAAAAGAAGAAATAGAATATGAAGAAGAAAAGAAGAAATAGAATATGAAGTAGAAAAGAAGAAATAGAATATGAATAATAATAAGAAAAAAAATATAATATGAATGAGAAGTAGTAAAAGAAGAAATAGAATATGAATAAGAAGAAGAAAAAAAAAAGAATTTCAGTCCGATATTATATTTGACATTTAAAAAGTATAGCAACATTGTATCTATTTGTATCTGAATAGAAACCTCTGTATCCGAAATGGATACAAATAAATACAATGTTGCAACTTTTTCTTCTTCCTCTGCATATTCTATTTCTTCTTCTTCTGCATATTCTATATAATTGCTGGCCGTAGACGGGACAAAAATTCGACCGACTTTTTTGTTACCAATGGTGGTAACGTCGGCTGATTGAATAACCGATTTTTCATTTTTCTAAAAAAAAAACCGGCTGGTTTTCTCCCCGTCTCTGACCTGCATTACAGGGACTGACAATGCTGATAAACTCTAATGCTCTTGAAACTGTAAACCCCCTTAAGCCAGTACCAAAATCTGAATATATAATGCAAAATGGAATTTTTTTCATGCAAAAAAATGTAAAATTCATGCAAAATTCCATCAGCAGCCCTGTTTGTGCATCTAAGGGCAGTACAGTGGCTAAAGTTAGCACTCCCGCCTGGCAGTACTAGGATCGTTGGTTCAAATCCCAGCCACGCCACCACCTGCCTGGAGTTTGCATGTTCTCCCTGTGCCTGTGTGGGTTTTCTCCAGTTTCCTCCTACACTCCAAAGACATGCTGGTAGGTTAATTGGCTCCTGTCTAAATTGTCCCTAGTATGTGTATGTATGAATGTGAGTTAGGGACCTTAGATTGTACGCCCCTTGAGGGTTAGGGACTGATGTGAATGTACAATATATATGTAAAGTGCTGCATAAATTGAAGGCGCTATATAAGTACCTGTAATAAATAATAATAAATGCAGTCAAGTGTGTATGAAATGGTGACACTTTGCTGCAATCTGTATGAGTGTAGAGTTACAGGGACTGACAATGCTGATAAACTCTAATGCTCCATATCTGAGCGGACCAATTGTTCTCAAGTGATTCCATGGCTATGAATAGACTGACTGTTATTACAGTCCCAGATAACAAAGGCTATGGACAATGATAGAGGGATTGCCACCAAAGAGGAATAGCCAGGCATTTTAATACCAGATCTCTGCTTTACCTAATTAGGTCATGGTGTGCTTCTGTGATGTGAGCGGTGCCTGGTGTGCTTCTTATTTTAGCTTTTGTCGCCTTGCAAATATATATATATATGTACGTGAATCTACCACCCTGAGTCCATTGTCTAAAATAAGGAAAGTTGGTGTTGATGCCGGAATTCGACTGGCCAGAATTAAGAAATTTAGGAGGAACATGGGCTAAATTTTATTATCAGTTTATAATCCTGGAGGCAGTATAACTCTGTTAGGGCCAAACTTGATTGATCAGTGATCAGCTGGGCTATCATTTTGCAGCTTTTTCGCTATCGAATAGGTGCATCCAGGGGCAGACTGACAACCCATGGGGCCCCGGGCAATAGGGGATCATGGGGCCTCTGTGTCCTTGCCCACACTCAAAAAAGCCTATGAAAAAGGTACCAGGGGCATTTCATGGGGCCCCCTACTGACCCCGGGCCCTCGGGCAGTGCCTGAGTGCTCAAATGGTCAGTCCGCCCCTTGGTGCATCGCAAATTTGATGTATTTATAATACACGTACAGGACTTGATAACCTAGTTTTGATTGGCCAGTGTGACATTTGCTGGCACTGATTACTTAAAGAGAACTAAGTTGACCAAATTGCTGGCCCACCAATCCGCTGCCCATACTCATGACCAGGGGCGGACTGAGAACTCATGGGCCCCCCGGGCAATAGGGGATCATAGGTCCCCTGTGTGCTTGCCCACACTCAAAAAAGCTATGAAAAACTATGAAAAAGGTAGCAGGGGCATCTCTTGGGGCCCCCTACCGACCCCGGGCCCTCGGGCAGTGCCCAAGTTTCCAAATGGTCAGTCCGCCCCTGCTCACGACCCTTGGTAGGTCGTTCAGGCACCCAGCACTGAATCATAGACAGATATGATGAGACTTCCATGCTCCCCTATACTTAGAAAAACCAGATCTATCGCAACGCTCCAACAAGTAAACAGAGTGCTAGGGGAGCGAAGATAAGGCGAGTATGAGCCGAAGAAGAAAGGGCTAAATTATGGGCAGCGCAGTGGCTAAATGGGTAGCACTTACACCTGGCAGCATTAGGGTTGTTGGTTCAAATCCCAGCCACAGCACCACCTGCCTGGAGTTTGCATGTTCTCTCTGTGCCTGTGTGGGTTTACTCTGGTTTCCTTCCACATTCCAAAGACATGCTGGTAGGTGAATTGGATCCTGTCTAAATTGGCCCTAGTATGTGTATGTATGAATGTGAGTTAGGGACCTTAGATTGTACGCCCCTTGAGGGTTAGGGACTGATGTGAATGTACAATATATATGTAAAGCGCGGCGTAAATTGATGGCGCTATATAAATACCTCAAATACATTATTATTATTACACAGGATTTATGTAGCGCCAACAGTTTGCTCAGCGCTTTACAAAATGAAGGCAGACATTACAGTTACAATACAATTTGGTACAAGAGGAAACAGACGGCCCTGATCATTAGAGCTAATTAAGTGTACCTGTCTTACTTTTAAATCCACTCTTTCTGCACACTTTATACACAGAAAAATAACATTTTAGCCTGTTCACGTGCCAGTGCAATTATAATACCCCCTACGTTCTGTAGTAGGCTTGGTAGCCCTTTAGGGGATTAGGTTTCTGGAGGGAGTTGGGAACAACTGTGAATGATGGGGTTTCTAGATGGAGCTGGAGGTCTCTCAAGTAGGCTGGGGTTTTTTTTTTAGGGGCAATGAGGGACTGAGGGGTCTTAGGGAGCCTGGTGGTACTGTAAGAATTTGAAGGGCACTGCAGGTCACCATGAGAGGTTGTGTGACACTATAGGAGCTGGGAGGCATTGTGGGAGATTAGGGGATTTGCAGCTAGCTGAAGCCCCTGGAAAATGGAAGCCATGGCCTGGCACTGGGCTGGGGCCAGGTTCTCAACCACCTGGCCCCAGCCCAGTGCCAGGCCATGGCTTCCATTCTCCAGGGATACTGCTCTAGACCAGCTTCTTTCCTCTGTTAATTTATTTTGAAAATTGGTCACAGAACAAGCATCCCTGCCTCCGTCAGCTTCTTAGTCACATTTATTACTATAGCCAAAGTGATTCAGTGAAAAAGAGCCAATTCACTAAGGCCGATAGGTTCTATTGCGCAAAATATAGTTGCTAATATTTCCAAAATGGTGACAAATTTATTACTCATTTTAAGAAGCATATTTTATAGTAATTACTGTATATATCAATATATTTTTTAAAATCACTTACGTGATCAGCATAGACTGGTTTTCACGATCTAAAATAAAGCAAAAAAAAAAAAAGATATCAGAACAATATCACTGCTGCTTATAAAATGTGCAATTTTATTCATGTAAATCTGTGTTAAAATAAATATCATCGGCGATCAGTGCTTTGTAGACATGGGTTAAAAGCCGTCAATGAAACTACATTATATGGTCAAAAGTTTCTGGACTTTCAACCATTATTAATATTATTATTATTATTATTATTATACAGCGCTGTACAATATAGTGGGGGACAGTACATGAGACAACGCAGTAACAATACAAAACACGAGGGGTTCGAGGGCCCTGCTCTTTGGAGCTTACAATCTAGGAGGGAGGGGATAGTGGTACAGGAGGAAGTGGCTGTGAGTGATGGAGTGGTAGGAGGAGTGTAGAGTGTAGATCGGCTGTTAGGTGAGAGTGGGGTAGGCTTCCCTGAAGAGATGGGTTTTCAGGGTGCGCCTAAAGGTGAGGAGGGAAGGTGACAGTCTGATGGATTGGGGTAGTGAGTTCCAGAGGATGGGGGAAGTCCTGGAGAAGTCCTGCAGTCGGGCGTGGGAGGTGGAGACCAGGAAGCTAGAAAGAAGGAGGTCTTGTGAGGAGCGAAGATTACGGGTTGGGCGGTATTTGGGTAACTTTAGAACAAGGAGTCTCTAAAAAAAAATCAAAGGAACTATGCTTGCATTCCACCCAAAAAAACAACTACACATCGCCAATAAGCATTGCCCTGGCAGAGATAGCTGAGGAAAGCCCAGCCCAGGCTCTGAAAGACCATGAGGTGAGCTGAGAAGCAAAAATGTCAGCTTGAAAAAGCTAGCCAAGGCAGCATATTAAGTATGTCCTTTCTAAGTATAGACACTTTCAAGGAAAATCTCTATTAGGTTTTCATTGCTGTCAGTGCCCCCATTAGGAAGATTTTCTCAACTCTCTGTTTTGGAGACACTGATCTCCTGAACAGGAGAAGAAGCAAAATCTTCTCACTGGGGACACTAAGGCTAGGTTCACATCTGTGCGGATGGTGTGGATCCGCACAAAAACCCATGCAGCCACACCACCCACACAGAAGAATGCGGACCTGCGAGCGGGTGCCATTAGTTCCAATGGCACGCCACCCGCACTGGAAGTCACAACTGCACTGGAAACTGAGGTTCCCATGCAGGCTGCAGTTTCCAAAGAAGTGCAGGGACTTCTTTCCTGCGTGTCCCGGGGAATGGGAGTCCATTCAAGTGAATGGGCTCTCATGCCAGCGCAAAACACGACCCGCAGGAACGAACATATGTGAACCAGGGCTAAGAGCTAGAGCCTTTGTCTGGTTTTTATTGCTTGCTGGGTAGATTTCCTATCACTTCTGTTCTCAGATGTGTTGGTCACCTGGGCAGGAAGTTACCCAATGGGTCCCAGACAACAAAAATAATGTAAGAGAGGTTCAAATGTATACCTACTCTAGCCAAAGCCATTAAAAGAATCACCTGAGGTTCAAAAGTAATGACGGCCAGTACAATAAAGAGACAAATCTATCCATTGTCCTTGTTTCTGAGAAAAAACCTGGATGTCTAGACTTTCAAGGAGACGAGGCTTACCAAACCCCAGCTTAAATTTGCCCAAATATTGATCGGTTTAGGAGGTAGACGGTGGCTGTTTTATCAAATTGGAAATATGAAATTTTTTCAGTGTTCATAATGACAGTAGAGAAAGCATCGTCAATTTATAGCTCACTGTTTTCTTGGATACCTACTTCGCACCATGTCGTTGTATGCGTTGTCAGCGATGGCGTAGATATGGGGTGGAGCCTCTGAGCGTCTCTTGCCTCTGTAAGCGGCGACTACGGTGGATGTGTACACAGGAAGCCACTTGTATGGGTTCACAGTGACACAGAACAACCCGGAGTAGGTCTGAGAAGAAAAAGACAGACATGAGCTGGGCGACAGCTGCGCTCATAAACTATAAAGCGCCTACAGATCAGTTCCAAGAACTTCAATGCGTCTGTTTCACGGTGAATTTAGTGAGATATTTATCATCTTAGAACATCATCAGTCACAGAAACGGCATGAAACAAGCTCCCTTTCTTTACACAGGTCTAAATAAAGCCGCGCGAATGGCTACCCAGCTGTGGGAATGTTTTTTGTGTATGTTACTAAGGCACAGATCAGTTAGATGAACTTTCTATGGACCTAAAATGCAAAAAGGATCATTAAAAAATACAAGAAAAAAAAAGACTGCTACTTGAAATAAATTTTCTGCTGTTGCCTACAAACTATATAAAGTGGAGAACTGTGTATGGACAACCGGGCTGTCAAATGACCTTCAGAAAAGATCTTTTTTACTAACCTGTGCCTGTAGAGGAAGGACAGCTGCGTGCACCAGGATATCTCAGGAGAATGATGAGCATGTGGCTCAAGAATATCTGTAAACATTTTTATTCTGACTCAACCAAAAATTGCAATTACTCAGACACTCCGCACCATGCATACTGAACATTTGTATCGGTGTAGGGTCAACTTACTCCCAGGACAGAATTTTTAAAATTTTCAGATTGTATTAGTTTATGCATTTTTATTTAAGAAGCATAGGTTGACTTTCTTTGTCTTTGCAGTTTGCTAGTCCCAGGTTCCTCCACCATTTTCACCTGGTTTCTCCTGAATTATAGCTGGTGTTTACCCAGGTACACCATGCACTGGGCCATGAGGATGTCTGGTGCATACCATCTGTATTTTAGGTGTGCATGTGGTTTTCTTGGAGCCATTTCTTTTTTTGTTTGTGTAAGATAGAGATTTTTTAAGTCCGCAAACGTGCAACTATAACGAAAAAACCCGTAAGTGTTCACAAAAAAAGTGCAAGTGCAAAACACCACACGAAAAAGTGCACTTAGGGGGTGTGCTGTGTCCTACCCCTAAAGGGGCTTGGACCGCTTACCCTGATCCCCCGGGGCACGAAGCTCCTGACGGGGACAAGGTTCCCAATTGGTCCTCCTGGCCAAAAGGCCTGGTGGACCACCGTTCCCTATGCCCAGCCGAAGCCGGACATCCAGTACTAGGCAAGGGGACTCTCCCGAAGAAGAGTCCCCTAGGGATCAGGGGAGGAAGGAACCGTATGGCCACACATCCTCCCCCTAGACTTCAGGGTAGGCCCGAGGACCCACACCCTCCATCCGTGAAAAACACACACATAAGAGCAAAAAAGTGACAAACGTGGGAGTGCATAATAAATAAAGATAAAAAGAAAAAAAAAAAAAAAGTGGTTCCGTGCCGAATTGTGCACAGACCAGGCCCTGAGTGTAAGATAGAGATATGCATGCTCAAAGTGTGGGTGGTGAGAACGCTAAGCGAGGGTAGGTGACTTGATGGAGTCTAGCTGTTGTTGGCAACTGAAAGAACAGATGGGTAGTCCAGCATAGGTGTTTTAGGAATGCCGCTGGGGATTGACCATGAGTCGTGCTTAATTACAATGGGGAGGTTTACCTTGCAAGTGCCCATCTGTTTGTGTAAGATAGAGATATGCATGCTCAAGGCATGGGTGGTGAGAACACTAAGCAAGGATAGGTCACTTGATGGGGTCTAGTTCTTGTTGGTGTAAGCTAGAGATATGCATGCTCAGGGGTGGGTGGTGAGAAAACTAAGCAAAAGATAGGTCACTTGATGGGGTCTAGTTCTTGTTGGTGTAAGATAGAGATACGCATGCTCAGGGGTGGGTGGTGAGAACACTAAGCGAGGATAGGTCACTTGATGGGGTCTAGTTCTTGTTGGTGTAAGACAGAGATATGCATGCTCAGGGGGGTGGGTGGTAAGAACACTAAGCGAGGATAGGTCACTTGATGGGGTCTAGTTCTTGTTGGTGTAAGATAGAAATATGCATGCTCAGGGGGTCGGTGGTGAGCACACTAACAAGGATAGGTCACTTGATGGGGTCTAGTTGTTGTTGGTGTAAAATAGAAATATTCATGTTCAGGGGTGGGTGGTGAGAACACTAAGCGAGGATAGGTCACTTGATGGGGTCTAGTTCTTGTTGGTGTAAGACAGAGATATGCATGCTCACGGGTCGGTGGTGAGAACACTAAGCTAGGATAGGTCACTTGATGGGGTCTAGTTCTTGTTGGTGTAAGATAGAAATATGCATGCTCAGGGGGTCGGTGGTGAGCACACTAACAAGGATAGGTCACTTGATGGGGTCTAGTTGTTGGTGTAAAATAGAAATATTCATGTTCAGGGGTGGGTGGTGAGAACACTAAGCGAGGATAGGTCACTTGATGGGGTCTAGTTGTTGTTGGTGTAAGACAGAGATACGCATGCTCTGGGGTGGGTGGTGAGAACACTAAGCGAAGATAGGTCACTTGATGGGGTCTAGTTGTTGTTGGTGTAAGATAGGAATATGCATGCTCAGGGGGTCGGTGGTGAGCACACTAACAAGGATAGGTCACTTGATGGGGTCTATTTCTTTTTGGCAACTGAAAGAACAGATGGGTAGACCTACAGTATAGGTGTTCTAAGAATGCAGCTGGGGATTGACCATAAATCATGCTTATTTCTAGTGGGTAGATGTCCCTTGTAAGTGGCCACCTGGGGAACAGAGACCAGCTTGTTCATGTTGATGGGATTAAGATCCAGATGTAACCTTGTGTGTGTTCCACATGTCTGAAGACCCCCATTACATTTACACAGGTGCAATCTCAAAACTTTGTGTCTTACATAGATCATCCAGTTAGCATAGCGACGCCTCAGGTTGGACAAGACAGAGGCCTCATTTAAGTGGGTCAACATTGCCATGTCTTCAATCATGTCGAATTTTGGAGGGTTCATCTGCTGAATATCATCTTCCTTCACAGTGAGAGTCTGAAAGGAAACAAAAACATTGAATGAAAATTATATATAGGTTAATCCCACTATGCCAAGCCATGAACGTTCCAGGAAATCTGAAGTGTTAGTGTTGTCACCAAAAAAGAGCATGGATTTCTCTTTACTTCCTGTCCTGAAGGCACAACAGGAAGTTAGACAGGAAATCTGTTCATTGTTAAGTGCATTTCCCTTTTAGACACTTTGGAACAGTTTTCTCCATTGGAAGTTTGATTCTTGAGATGAGAATAACTTCCAATGGAGAAAATTGTTCCAGTGACAATTGTCTAAAAGGGAAATTCAGTTAACATTTGAAGACATTTCCTGTCTAACTTCCTGTTGTATTTTTGGGGCAGGAAGTAAAGTGAAATCCATGCTCTATCCAAAACGTAAAATAGATAGAGAAGACATTAGGTGGTTGCAACACAGTTAGTATAGCATATTTATTCACCCTCTTGTCTTTAGTTTCCACAGTGATTTTTCCACCTGAAGAATCCTTTATTTCCACTTCAATATAAGCTTCCTTCTCATCTGGTATCCAGGCTTTCTTCTTACCTAAAAAACAAGAAAAGTTAGATCTGGGAGGATTACATACTATATATGTACTGCTTAAGTAAACTTCCTGCATTTTTACTTTTTATGAACATTTAGGCTTAGTTTACACTTGTGGTTGGGGAGGGGGAAACAAGGTTGAGCCACATTTTTCCTAGTGGTGTCCTCAACGCTGAACTAAATCAAAGACCTTTTACTGAGATTCACTGGGATTAAGGGGGTTAACCAGTCCTAAAGTGGACACATAAATCTACCAGGCACCTCTGGTCCCATGTGCAGTTTGATACTGTCACACTAAAAGCAGTGTGCCTCTTGTGTCGTTGGTGATCAATAGTCTTTCCACTATCCCAGGGGCGGACTGACCATTTGAGCACTCTGGCACTGCCCGAGGGCCCGGGGTCAGTAGGGGGCCCCATGAGACGTCCCTGGTACCTTTCATTGGATTTTCCATAGGCTTTTTTGGGTGTGGGCGAGGACACAGGGGCCCCATGATCCCCTATTGCCCGGGGGCCCCATGAGTTGTCAGTCCACCCCTGCACTATACACTGCAACTTGACTAACTGTTTATCACCAATGTGCACCAAATGGAGATACCCATGAGGATCATCACCTAGTCTTGACTAGGGATGAGCTCTAGTTCCACCTCAGAGTGCCTTCCAGAAAGCTGTCATTGTACTGTTCCAAACATAAGCAGCTGAAGCGATCTTTGCCCTGCAGCCACACATATGGACATCCCTAGTATACATAAAGCTGTGGGGTGGGGAATGGCCTGGCAGATGATGATTGTACCTGGTACAGGTGACAACTGAGTTGTTCAGGTGGGTTAGGACTAGGATCAAAACACGCCAAAACTCATCCCTAGTCTTCACCTCATCTAAAGGTGATGGACACGCCATTTGTGCTGACTGTGAACTGGCACAAGGGCCCTTTGAGATTTAGGGACTGAATTTCATGAGATGTGGGTTGGGCGGGTGATGGGACTCACTTTTCCTGTAATATTGTCCTGAACACCACTCACATCTTGGCCTAGTGAGAAACATGAGATGTTCTTCACTATGCCCTAGCTATGCTACTGGTGTCTTCTCTGGTTGCATACTATGGGCCATCAGAGAGTTTGGGGCATCACATAGTTTACTTTTCATATCTATCTATCTATCTATCTATCTATCTATCTATCTATCTATTATCTATCTATCTATCTATCTATCTATCTATCTATCTATCTATCTATCTATCTATCTATCTATCTATCTATCTATCTATCTATCTATCTATCTATCTATCTATCTATCTATTATCTATCTATCTATCTATCTATCTATCTATCTATCTATCTATCTATCTATCTATCTCTATCCATCTATCTATCTATTATCTATCTATCTATCTATCTATCTATCTATCTATCTATCTATCTATCTATCTATCTATCTATCTATCTATCTATCTATCTATCTATCTATCTTTCTAATCTTTTTTATCTATCTATCTATCATCTATCTTTCTAATCTTTTTTTATCTATCTATCTATCTATCTATCTATCTATCTATCTATCTATCTATCTTATCTATCGTGAATAAGTGTTTCTACTTGGACATTAATTGAATATAGAGAGCCCAATAATTTTTCTCACACAGGGACCCTTATTACTATGTTCAGTCCACTACCTGGTAATGGTACAAATTCATATTAAAAAAGGCAAGGTGCAGAGATATGTAATTGGGAGCCCACTCACTGGTCAAATTTAAGTTTTGCTATTGATTCTATCCAAACGATCAAAGATGGAGTTAGACTTTAAGCCAGAAAAAAACAGAGAGAGCAGTATAGGTTAGGTGAACCTCAACTGAAACAAATTCTTATCTGCCATTGCTGACCTCTCCATCTGTAAATGCTGGTTGACTGGCTGTAATGCTGATCCACTGACCTTTCAGGATACTTTTAGGATCATTTGTCCAAAACCAGCATGCAGGTCAGGAGGCACAAGACAGCCAGTCAAGTAGTATGTTAAGGAGAGGTCACCAATGAAAGGTCCCAAACCAGCCTTCAGTAGAAAGTCCCCTAAAGACTCTTATGTAAAATATCCTTCTCAGTAGCTGGTCCCCACATTTTACACCCTTTCATGAAATTATTATACAGTATCCTCACACTTATCTAGCGGTGTCTGACCCTTACCATCGAAAGGGATGGTCTGAATCTTCATAAGTTCATTGGCACTTTTCCTCAAGTAGTCAGCGGCCTCCCCAAACTCGGACATATCCAGGAGAGAAGACATGATGGGGGATGAAGGGCTCACCCCTAGAAAACAGGGGAAAAATGACATCATGTTACATAAAGCAGGATATTCCTCAGCTTATTGATACAGTAGAGGAGAGGGGATACGTAGTCCTTTTTTGTTTCTTTTGCCCTGATACAGAAGGGTGAGGAGTGTTGTCACCCTAGGACAGAAGTGTGTTACTGGCAGGATCACTAGGTGAAAATAAAGGAAAGAAAGTCTGCCTGGAGTTTGCATGTTCTCCCTGTGCCTGTGTGGGTTTCCTCCGGGTTCTACAAAGACATGCTGGTAGGTTAATTGGCTGCTGTCTAAATTGTCCCTAGTATGTGTATGTATGTGAGTTAGGGACCTTAGATTGTACACACCCATGAGGGTTAGGGACTGATGTGAATGTACAAAATAAAGTTGTAATGTAAAGCGCTGAGGAAATTGACGGCGCTATATAAGTACCTGTGATCAATAAAAATAAAGTGAACAAAAAATTTGCTTTTCACATGATTGGATAGGTAAAGTGAATATTAGTGAGCAGGGGGGGACTGACCATTTGGAAACTCGGGCACTGCCTGAGGGCCCGGGGTCAGTAGGGGGCCCCATGAGATGCCCCTGGTACCTTTTTCATAGGCTTTTTTGAGTTTGGGCAAGGCCACAGGAGCCCCATGATCCCCTATTGCCCGGGGGCCCCATGAGTTGTCAGTCCGCCCCTGTTAGTGAGTGAAGGGTCACAACTCTGTTTAACGAGTAAGTCCCACAATGTCAGGTGTGATACTTAGGACCTGCCTGCCAGAACTGGCATTCTTATTGCTGGACAACCAGCAAGCAAGTGGGTCCCTTTATCAAACTGGTCCAGGGGTGGACTGACCGTTCGGGCACTCGGGCACTGCCTGAGGGCCTGGGGTCAATAGGCCCCTGGTACCTTTTTATAGGTTTTTTTGGGTGTGGTTTGAGTATGGGCGAGGACACAGGGGCCCCATGATTCCCTATTGCCCAGGGGCCCCATGAGTTGTCAGTCCATCCCTGAACTGGCCCTAGTACGTGTATGTATGGACGTGAGTTAGGGACCTTAGATTGTAAGCTTCTTGAGGGCAGGGACTGATGTGAATGTGTAATAAATATGTAAAGCACTGTGCCAATTGCCTGGGCTATATAAGTACCTGTAATAGATAAATAAAAAAAAAGACTAATGCAGCCACCACATCTAAGGATTGGTAAGCTGTGATATTACATTTTTTTCTTTGAGGTTCAGATACGGTTCAATGCTTTGGGGTGATTGTACTCATATTATTGTACATTTTGCTAAACCTTGCTGTGCTGAGAAGAAGGAAACGCTCTAAAAGCTTGTCCTGAAAATGTAATTGTTCAAATAAAAAAAAAAAAGCATAGCATTGATAATATTTATCTGATACCCTTTAATGCAAACAAACCGGACCTATATTGACTTTCAAAAAGTTTATAAAGGATTATCTAACACTGGCCACACACTAGCAGATTTTTGAACTTTGTACATTCATACAAAAATTTGCACAAAAATTCTCATAAGTACAGTCGATGGGCGAATATCATTTGAAAGCAAAGCGTTTGCTTTATACATTCAATATTGCAGTGAATAGATTTTACCAAACAAAAAACACATTCATTGGTCCAAAATCAGTTTGTGGAAATCTTTCCTTCGAATTTTCTCGTCACTACAGTCAAAAGCAAGCGTCGATTCGATCCCCTAACGATCAGAAAGTTGACAGAACTTTCTTAAAATGAACATTTTTAACATCTACATAAACTAATTTACATTTTTCCATACCCCTTCCCAACAAAATGTTTCAACAACGCCACCATCAAACCCCCCCGCAGGCCAGAGTACTTGGTGTCATTCTGGACTCCAACCTATCCTTCCAGCCCCAAGTCCAATCGCTAACAAACTCGTGCAGACTCCACCTCCGCAACATCGCCAAAATCCGCACGTTCCTAACCCCAGAAACCACTAAACAGCTCATCCACTCCTCATCATATCACGACTCGACTACTGCAACTCCCTCCTCACTGGCCTGCCTCGCCGCTGGCTATCCCCTCTTCAGTCCATCCTGAATACGGCTGCCAGACTCATTCACCTTTCCAACCGCTCCATCTCCGCCACCCCCCCTCTGCCAATCCCTCCACTGGCTTCCGATTGCGCAAACGGATCAAATTCAAAATCCTAACGCTGACGTACAAAGCTGTCCACCATACTGCCCCGAACTACATCACTGACCTAATATCCAAGTACCGCCCAACACGCACACTCCGCTCCTCACAAGACCTCCTTCTCTCTAGTTCCCTGGTCTCCTCCTCCCATGCCCGCCTCCAGGACTTCTCCAGGGTGTCACCCATCCTCTGGAACTCCCTGCCCCAACCCATCAGATTATCACCTACCTACTCTCCTCTCCTTTAGGCGCACCCTGAAAACCCATCTCTTCAGGGAAGCCTACCCCACCCCCTGCTAACTTGCCGACCTCCTCCACTCTTCCTACCACTCCATCCCCCACAGCTATCTCCTCCTGTACCACTATCCCCCCCTCCTAGATTGTAAGCTCGAAAGAGCAGGGCCCTCGATCCCCTCATGTTTTGCATTGTATTGGTATTGTTCTGTCACATGTTCTGTCCCGCTTCGTAATGTACAGCGCTGAGCGAACTATCCGCGCTTTATAAATACTGTATAATAATAATAATAACAGAAAATAATGCCACACTCATCAAATCTAGTGAATAACTCTTTCTTTTTTATCAATTCCATGAATGAATATATTTCCTCTCCTTTCATTATATCCCTTAATTGTGCGTCTTCCTTTTTTAACCACCTCTCCGCTATACTTTCGTTCCCTGGTTGAAAAAACTTTGTGGACCCTATTGGCATTAACATGGAATTAAATTCCCCCATCCCATTTGTGTATGTACTGCATCCAGGGGCGGACTGACAACTCATGGGGCCCCCCAGGCAATAGGGGATCATGGGGCCCCTGTGTCCTTGCCCAAACTCAAAAAAGCCTATGAAAAAGGTACCAGGGGCATCTCATGGGGCCCCCTATTGACTTTGGGCCCTTGGGCAGTGCCCTAGTTTCCAGTTGGTCAGTCTGCCCCTGACTGCATCCCATATTTTAATACATTTCTTGTATACAAACTTGTGCTATTTACCAGTCCTCGATATTGGGGTGGAATCCATACTATCCTACTCAATTGTGTCTCACTTAATGCGATAAAAAAAAAAAAAAAAAAACATTCTAAAAAAAAAAATGTTAAAACATTATTTATTAGATATGTAAATATGTTTTCTCTTTTTTAGTGAATGTAAAATTGAAAAATCAATAAAACATTTTTGAACTAAATTCTACTCCATTCATGCACAGCGTAAAACGTGATTTTGTCAAGCTGTTCCACCAGAAGCAGCACCTCTGATACTGAAGATCTCCCTACTGAAACCTCTAGAGCCTGCAGCTGTTGGCTCCGAGTTATAGGCAACACTGGAAGTGTCTTAGTAATCCAACACAACAAAAACATTTTTTTAAAACAGCAAGACGCAGGGGACACATACATGACCTCAGCTCCTTGACATGTTCCTGATTGTGTAACCCAATCCCACACTTGTCAGGGAAGCCAAGCTCAGCGCTGAGGTTAAACTCATTGTTTATGTCCACCATAACGTGTCCCCTGACCTTGTCCTCTCTGCTCACAAGGCAGCTACAGTCCGCCCTGTGCGATCACAGAACAGGTGCTGACTACCCCCAATCCTAATTCTATACATTATTATATAGCCGGGGTCTCCAAACTGCGGCTCGTGGGCCAGATGTGGCCCTTTGCTTGCCTTTATCCGGCCCTTGGGACACAATTTTTTCCACTGATATGAGGCACTATACCCTCCAAGGACACCAAAGATGAGGAACTATTCTTCCCACTGACACCATCAATAGGGTACTATTCCTCTGAATGACACCAACAATGATGATGCACGAATCTTCCAGTGACACCAAACATGGAGCTCTATTCTTCTCATTGACACAGTCGATGGGCCAAGTATTCTTCCCACTGACACCATCAATGGGAAGAATTCCTCCAAATTACACCAATGATGATGCACGAATCTTCCAGTGACACCAAACATGGAGCTCTATTCTTCTCATTGACATCGTCAATGGGCCAGCTATTCTTCCCACTGACACCATCAATGGGCCACTATACCTCCCACTGACACCATTGAGAGGGCACTATTCCTCCCACTGACACCATATTAGGGCACCATTCCTCCCACTGACTCAATTGATGGGGCACTATTCCTCCCATTGACACCAATGGATGGGGCACTATTCCTCCCATTGACACCAATGGATGGGCACTATTCCTCCCACTGACTCCATTGAGAGGGCACTATTCTTCCCACTGACTGACATTCCTTCCACTGACACCAATGGATGGGGCACTATTTATCCCACTGACACCAATGGATGGGGCACTATTTCTCCCACTGACACCATATTAGGGCACCATTACTCCCACTGACACAATTGATGAGCCCTATTCTTCCCAATAGAAACAAAGTTGGGGCATTGTTTCCTCCCACTGGACACAGTCTGGCCCCCCTAAAGTCTGAAGGACACCAGCAATGGCACACTATTCCTCCAAATGACATCATTGATGATGCACGAATCTTCCAGTGACACCAAACATGGAGCATTATTCTTCTCATTGACACAGTCGATGGACCAACTATTCTTCCCACTGACACCATCAATGGGAAGAATTCCTCCAAATTACACCAACGATCATGCACGAATCTTCCAGTGACACCAAACATGGAGCTGTATTCTTCTCATTGACACAGTCGATGGGCCAACTATTCTTCCCACTGACACCATCAATGGGAAGAATTCCTCCACAGTCCAATTACCCTAAATGATGCACGACTCTTCCAGTGACACCAAACATGGAGCTGTTTTCTTCTTGACACAGTCGATGGGCAAAACTATTCTTCCCACTAA